CATATGTTGACAAAATGAGGTCAGGAAGACAGAGGAGGAGTTAAAGGGTATTAGTCATGATTCTCCAGGAAAACAGAATCAACAGGATGTGTACGTATGTTGAAAAAAGAAATGTTTTAAGGAATTGGATCATGCGGCTTGGAGACTTGGTGAGTCCAAAATCTGATGGGACAAGCCCTTTTCCCAAATAAGGTAACATTCACAGGTTCCAGGAATTAGGATGTGAACATATCTTTGGAGGGTAGCGCAGAGGGATTCAGGGGAGAGTTGCATTTGAAGTTCAAAGGCAATCTGCTGGCAGAATTCCTTTTCATCTTGGGGGAAGTCAGTTGTTGGTCTAACAATATGATGAGGCCCATCCACATTATGGAGGACAATCTGCTTTAACTGTTAATCCCATCCTAAAACACACTCACAGTAACACCCAGAATAAATTTTGACAATAATACTCTGGGCACTATGGCCCTGCCAAGCTAAAAGGAAGATCTGTTTAGAATGGTGTTAAAGTAAGAGGAAAAGGAGCATGTGAAGAAGTAATGATAAAAAATATTAAAAGTCTCACACACCTGGCAGTGGGTTGAATGGGCCACCCCCCGCCCTCCCCTCCCACTCTCAGCAAAAGATACGTCCATATCCTAATCCCTGGAACCTGTGAATGTTACCGTAGTTGGAAAAAGAGTATTTGCAGTTGCAATTAAATTAAGGACATTAAAATGAAGTCATCATTCTGGATTTTCTGGGTCGGCCCTGAATCCTATGACAAGTGTCTTTAAGAGGAGAGGCAGGAGATCTAAGGCAGAAGAGGAGGCAATGTGACTGCAGAAGCACAATCTGGAGTGATATGAAGGAATGACAACAGCCACTAATATCTGGAAGAGGCAGGAAAGAGTCTTCCTTAGGAGCTCCAGGAGGATGGTAGCTGTACTGACACCTTGATTTTGGACTTCTGGGCTCTTGAACTATGCGAAAATCAACCTCTGTTGTTTTAAGCAATCCAGTTTGTGCTAATTTGTTACAGCAGCTAGAGGAAACACAAAACATCTGAGGATAAATATAATTGACTTTTCTATTAAGAAGGAAAGTATTAGTCACTTCCGAGAAAAATAGTTTCAATAGAGTGATGTGGAAAAGACCATATGTACAGGTTGCAAGGCAGAAGTTCCCAAACTTTTTCCACTTACGGGGACCTTTATATCCTAGTAACTTTTTCATAGCATTTCTAGGTCAAAAGCAATACTTTAACAGTTCAGATTATTGAGTAGTCAGTTCCAAACAACTTAATCAGTATTTATGTACTAGCAACTTAGTGGTTGTTTGAAGAAGTAATACATATAAATTCAAAAAAAAATATTTGACTGTTTTCAAGTTATCCCAATTATATACTTACTAATGGGGTGCATGCACCTGTTACACACTACACAACTTTTTAAACTTTGGAATTAGATTGACACCAGCCAATGCCATTTCCTGTTCCACACTGATTTTCACCCTGTAGTTGCTTTTATCACAGCAACCGCTGAAAGTCCAGCTTTGTAAGGATATGACATTGTAGAAAGGAAGTCAGAGCCATCTAACATTGAAACAGTAAACTATCTCAAGCTAGTATTTTGGGTGGTTTCAGAAAGACATCAAGTAACACAATGTTTCCTTTAAAAATTTGCAGTGCCCCCCAGGCAGTCCCATGAGTTCACTGTGGCTGCCACACTTGGGCATGCAGTTTGGGAAGCATGGGTTTAAGGAATGAAAGGTGAGAAAGTATATATATATATATATACACACACACACACACACACACACATATATATATATGTATATATATATATACACACAGTATAAATATATAGAAAGTATAGAGGATAATTATAAGATATTTAGTAGAAACTTAAGAAAGGAAAGCCAGAAGGTTAGCAAATATATTCTAAAAATAAGGACAAAAGAAATAAAAAATTATATACTGGACTACATCAAAATTTAAAAACCTCTGTGCATCAAGGACACAATCCACAGAATGAAACAGAAAACTATAGAATGGAAACAAATATTTGCAAATCATATATCTGGCAAGAGTCTGATATTTAGAATATATAAAGAACTCAACATCGAAAACAACCCAATTTAAAAATGTGCAAAGGACTTGAATAAACATTTCTCCAAAGTTACACAAATGGACAAAAATATATGAAAAGATGCTCAACATCACTAAGCATTAGGGAACTGTAAATCAACCCAATTTAAAAGTGTGCAAAGGACTTGAATAAACATTTCTCCAAAATTACACAAATGGACAAAAATATATGAAAAGATGCTCGACATCACTAAGCATTAGGGAACTGTAAATCAAAACCACAATGGGATACCACCTCACACCCATTAGATTGGCTACTATGAATACAAGCCAAAAAACAAACCAGGAAAGAACAAATATTGAATACCATGTGGAGAAACTCAATCTCTTGTGCACTATTGGACACAATGTAAAATGGTGTGGCCACTAAGGAAAAGAGTATGGTGTTTCCTCTAAAAGAATCAAAAAAGAATTACCATATCATCTAGCAATTCTGCTTCTAGCAATTCTTTGGGTATATGCCCCAAAGAATTGAAAGCAGGGACTTGAACAGATTATTTATACACCCACATTCATAGCAGTATTACTCGTGATAGCCAAAAGGGGAAAGGAACCCAAGTGCTTATCAATGGATGAATGGATAACCAAAATGTGGTTTATATATACTATGGAATATTATTTGGCCTTAAAAAGTATGGAAATTCTGACACATGCTATAACATGGAAGAAACTTGAGGACATTATGCCAGGTGAAATAAATAAGTCATAAAAAGAAAAATACTGTATGAATCCACTTTCATGAGGTACCAAAAGTAGTCAAATTTATAGAACCAGAAAATAGAATGTTGTTTGCTGGGGCTGGCGGATGGGTATAGATAGTTAGCTGTTTAATGGATACAGAATTTCAGTTTTGCAAGATGAAAGGCCTGCAAAACAAGGTGAATATTTAAAACTGCTTAGCTGTACACTTTAAAATGGCTGAGAGAATATATTTTAAGTTACGTATTTTATCACAATTTTTTTAAAGTTAAGGGAAGAAATATGATTGGGGTCAAACTTAAGATGTAAGAAGGATTTAAGGAACAAGATAAAATATATGCATCACTACTAAAACACTATACGCGTCACTAGCACTCTAAATGTTTAATAAACCATTTCTCCCAAGTTAGTACAAAGTCAAACTTTAACCCAATCTGAAATAAACATCATACATAACAAATTAGTGAGATTTAAGTGTACTGCCAATATTAGCCATAAATGTTGGCATAAAACAACATCCTATGAAAGTGTCAAGAAACCATTTTTTACACATACATAGAATATAGTAAAATAGAGGAAATTATTTAACTATCTGTAGAAACATTGATGGATAGTAAAAAAGACCATTTTGTTTATGCTCTTTATAGCCTAGCAAATATTTTCCCCCTGCTCAGATTCCCTCTTTTGCTCAGAGGAACTTTTACCATTTTAAAAACAATGCACTCAAGTTCCATGCAGCTTTTTAAAGTTAAATTAAGGAACTGGCAGAAAAATAAGCACTTTCCGGAGGGTGCCAGAGATCCCACCCATCCTAACTGAACTGTTCCCTCTTGTCAGGGCTGAGGATACAGTGGTCCTTTTAAAGCATGAATTTATGAGTTATTTTTTTCTCATCAGTACTTTTGAGCAATACCAACCTCCTTAAGCAGTTTCCTGGCACCAGGACATGGATCAGTCAAAAAATTTGTAAATAAACTCTACTATTTTCTCTGCTCAGGGTGAACTGCTGTGTCAGGAAGAATTTGGTTATAATGAAACTCCCCGCTATATTTATTAAATCCAAACAAGTCATAACACTCAGATTAAATTTTGCTTATTCTGGAATATGAGGATCTGTTTGAAAAACAGAGTTTAGATAACAAGAAACAACATAGTAACCATGTTTGCTGTGATCCTTACAAAGAGAAACAACTGCTTGCCTGCTTGTTAATAACTAATTCAAAATATATTGTATTTAAAGTGATTTGTTAACTTCCCCTTGTATTATTGGCCAGAGCAAACTATTTATTGATAAGCAGATTGCAATTTTGTGTATTTGTCAGTTCAAGGCCTTAGAAACAGAAGACCCAGCTTTCTACCTAGAAATCTAATCTAGGAGTGGTAGAAGTAGTACAAAAATAATTACTAAAAAAGGGAAACACATGTTCATAAAACTTTAAATGGAAAATAATTTTAAAGAATATTTTGTTACTTTGCAAATTTATCAAGTAAATATTGAATAATTACTTGATTTAACAATAATTGGACCAATCTTAAGCAGAGAGTATTATAGTTTGCAACGGTAGAATTGACCACAGAGTAGTTAAATAAGCCAACACTCTTACTCTCAGTGGCTCTCTTTTTGGAATGAAGGGAAAGGAAAAACTCGGTCTCTAAGTATGCTCAGTTGAAAAAAATTAAGTTAAATTAATTTAAAAGCATGGGAAAATTTGGTAGGAGATCGCCTATAGTAATTCCCATTTTGAAAAACTGGGCGGGAAGTGACCTTTCACACTAATTTGTATAGATTACAGGCAGAGTTAACCAAGGATATTGTGCACATCAATTTAGGCTGAAAATGGAAGTTCATTAAAATTTTCATTCCGCTTTTGAGCATCCTTTCGCTGAACCAGTGAATGGCTGTGTCGGCAGGATCGCTGGAAGCAAAGCCATCAAGTTGGCTCAGCAGTGTTCCACCGAGATGAAGTGGGAGAAGCGGCGGCATGCCGAGGACAGGGATCCTGGGCACAGACCGGAAGTTTAGGGTCGGGGGCTGTGGAACTGCTGCCCCGCCAACCAAATACTAGCAGGTGGCGCGCTTAGCGGGGGCGCGCTGGGACGCCGTCGGCCTCACGGGGGGCGGGGCGGCCGCCGGTCGCAGGTTGATGACGCGCTGGGCCGGCCGAGGAGCCGCCACTTCCTGGAGTCGCCGGCCGGGGCCGCTAGCTGTAGTCTGCGCCGGACCCGGGAGCCCACGGTCGCCGCCATGTCCCATCAGACCGGCATCCAAGGTAACGGCGCCCAGTGTGTTCTGCGGGGAAGGGCCTCCTGGGAGGCTTCGAGCGAGCCGGGCGGGTAACGGGCCGGGCAGGGCAGAAGTCTGGTCGGGAGCGCGTGGAGTCGGTCTCGCGGGGCGAGCCGGGCCTCTGCGCCTCCCCGCACTTTGGTGTCCCGAGAGCTCCCGGCCTGCGTCCGTCCCAGCCCGGGCCGGTCAGCCGCCACGTTGCAGACGGACCTGAAATTCTCTGGAGCGATGGAAATTGGTTTTCTGGGCGGCCTGGGTGAAGGGGGCGTGCCTTCCACTGCCCCCGAGAAATAGCCTAACTTTCCCCCTTTTTATCAGGTAGTGAAGACCCGGGAAGGTGGAGGCGATAGTATCTCCTGCTGTCGAGAGACGGGAGAATTTTTCTTTTTACGGTGCAAAGGAGGTTGTTATAGGATTCTGACTGTAAAAAGAAAGATGCTGGAATGTTTTTGATTTCCACTAGGAGTTCCTAAACTCTCCACATTTTCTCTCAAAACAGGAACATGAAATATGTTCTGAAATGATGAGTATGGGATATTTTAATCTTTCTCAGGTACTTCCCCAGGGAACTGGAAAGTCTGATCTGTTTGGCTGCCTTTAATTATCCGTGCAGGCAGTTCAATGTGCAATTATATCTCACCTCCATCCCTCGTTTGAAAATGGGCAGTCTGGAAGTGCTCACCTCACCACGGGCAAATAATGTGTCCGGGGGTTACTCAGGATCGCTTGAGTTCTGATATTAACACAAGCTCTCACTGTTACTAGACAACGATTTTTTTCTCTAGATGAACATTTCTTTGTGTTTTGTTCTTAAGGGTCGTTGACACTACCCTCTCCTTCCCCTGCGCACAAAAACATGATCAAAATAGTCCCAAATCTGAAAGTGTTGTTTTTGTCCGCGTTATTCAATATATAACTTTCCACGCTTGAGCCTTATCGCAAGCACTACTTAAATAATGGTTCTTGCTGTCAAACTTGCAACCCAAGAACGAAATTGAAGCTTTAGTAGGAGCAGAAGGTTTAGGTTGTTAAATACATATTAACTCAGTGAGCTTATTCCAGCATTTTGGGAAATAGAAGTTAGAAAAATGTAACCAGAAGTATAAGCTTGAATGCGTTTTATTGACTTTAATAGGATCAAGATAGGATATCTGATATTTAGTTTTTTTAATGTGGAAATGTAGAAAATGTATTGATGAAGGTGTTTCTGTTTATTACAAGCTTTAATCAGGATAGGATATCTGATATTTAGTGTTTTTTAAATGTGGAAATATAGAAGGTAAATTGATGAAAGTGTTTCTGTATATTATAAGCTTGACACTGGACTAGAATAGGAAAGCAGGTTTTCAACATTTTTCAGAGAAGCAATAAAGGTGCTTTACAAAATTGTAATTTATTCATTATTGGGTTTGAGTAACTTTAATATATTCACTTCCAGTGTTATTTCTCTGGAATTATCTAGCTAAAACAAATTAGAATTAATATTAATATACTTTATATTTCTTAGCTATATACACTATCCACTATGTTTTACCTTTGTTTTTAATTTAAATTACTGATGATAAGAGGATGCTACATATTGAAGATATTTTGCTTTGTATTATAATTTAGTTTTTCTCACTTAAGTAGCATTAGAAAGTATTAATACATAAGTATAAAAAATAGGTTTACGTTTATTTTTTTCCACAGCAAGTGAAGATGTTAAAGATGTCTTTGCCAGAGCAAGAAATGGAAAATACAGACTTCTGAAAATATCTATTGAAAATGGTTAGTTAAACATTTTTATTTATTGCTTGTCCTTGGATTATTGGGTGTTAAGTTTTTTAACTTTAAAGTCGTTGTCAGTGACTTGAACTGTTAATGGGAAGCAAATTCAAAGCTTGCCTTTAGGTACTTGGATCCTGTACATTGTGGGCATGGCCCACGGCCCCCTGCTTAACTTCTGAATTCTGAACTTGACTACCAGGGAAAGAGAAGGATACTGTTTTTTGGTGTGACGTTGTCCTCTTGTACTTTTTGTCTCAGTTTCTGCATGACAATCCGTTTCTAATGTCAGTGCTTCCATCTCTGGAATGGCAGTCAGTAAACAGGTGATTATCTGAAAAAACTTATTTATGAATTGTTGTTCAGTAAAGTTAGTTTTGAAGTAGAAACGAAGGATTTCAGACTCCAGTTTCTCCACTTGATTGCACTCTATGCTGCAGAAATGATTTCCCTTTCTTTTGGGAAACAGTTCTGAGAATGTAACAAACTATAAATTGATTGTTTCAAAATCTGTAAACAGGGAGAAATTGGTTGGATGGGAGAATCTTTTAAATCATCTAGATTTGAATTTGAACAATTTATTTTATAGCTCCTTAATCACAAATGAATGTTAAATATTCCTTTGGCCTAATTTCTTACATACCTTGAAATATTTTGCTTTGGAACAATAACTTGTTCTCTCATAAACTGGAAGTAAATTTGCTCTCCATTTTCTACCTATATATTAAAAATACCAGAACAGTTTGAAAATATGCAGTTGTTCTACATATATTACCACACTGAATAGGAGTAAACATATGCTGTAAAGCAACATGTTTTAGAAATACTGAGCTAAAATTTTAAATGCATTACTTCCTAACTCACTAGTTACATAAAATAGTAAAGTTTAACTACCATCACTACAGAAGAAAAATGACACTATTTCCTAAATCATCATTTTCTTGTTTTACTTTATTTTGAGAAAATTACAAAGAATAAATAATATAACAAATAGCTCCTGTCTCCTCTTAATAACTATGCTAATATGAATAGAAGTTTATCATGTGACTGTGCAACATATTATATATCCATTCTATTGTGGATGATATTGAGGCTGTTTTCAGTTTCCACTATTATATAGTGCTGCAGTGAACACCTTTGTATATATGTGCAAGAGATTCTTTCTGCAGAGTACATTCACACTCTTACTTGGTTCTGCCAACTAGTGCCTTAAAATGGCTATACCAATTTATGCTACTGGACTAATTTTAAATTAGAGCATTATGGCCAAATAGGAGCAAAACCTGGTTTTATTTAATACTTCTTAGTGTGCAATTCAGTGTTAATTTCAAAATTATCCTTTGAGTGCTATATTTATTTAAATATAGTTTCTTGATAACTTTCAGCATAAGCATTTTAGGAAATAGAATATAATCACCCATTCTTCACCCATCCAGCTCATCTACTTATCATATTTATCTGTTCGTTTTTTGTTTTTTAATATATAACATTACTTTAACTATATTTGTCATGAAGTTTTTATATGTTTTTAGTACTGCTTTGCATCATAATTACTTTTTGTGTAGCAGGCATTTTCCTTTCAACTTTTTTGATGTGAATAATAGTAATTAGGAAATAACTATAAATTTATGTTTCCTTACTCTCTCATTTGGTATTTCATACCATTTATGTATTTTTAAAAAAATGTTCTTATAGAGAAACTTGTGATTGGATCATGCAGTCAGCCTTCAGATTCCTGGGATAAGGATTATGATTCCTTTGTTTTACCCCTGTTGGAGGACAAACAACCGTGCTATATATTATTCAGGTTAGATTCTCAGAATGCCCAAGGATATGAATGGATATTCATTGCGTGGTCTCCAGATCATTCTCATGTAAGTAACTTTTTTGTAACTTGCTTAACATTAACTGCTAGAGTTTTTTGTTTCTGAAATATTGCTAGGCTACTTTGATTAGAGTAATAATTGTAATAATTCTGAGAACTAATTGAACATTATATTAAATATTCTTTTTTTAGTATATTTTATTGATTACGTTTTTATAGTTGTCCCACTTTTTCCCCTTTTGCCTCCCTCCACTCGCTACCCCACTTCCTTCCAGCGATCTCCTCACTCTTAGTTCATGTCCATGGGTCATGCATGTAAGTTCTTTGACTTCTCCATTTGCTATGCTATTCTTAACATCCCCCTGACTTTTGTACCTACCAATTATGCTTCTTAATCCCTGCATTGTTTCTTCCAACGTCCCCCTTCCCCCTGGCAGCTGATAGGCCTCCAGATGATCTCCGTATTTATGATTCTGTTCCTATTCTGGTTGTTTGCTGCTGCTGCTTTTTTTTTTTTTTAAGATTCAGTTGTTGATAGTTGTGAATTTGTTGCCATTTTAATGTTCATAGTTCTGATCTTTTTTTTCTTAAATAAGTCCCTTTAACATTACATATAATAATGGCTTGGTGATAATGAACTCCTTTAGCTTTACCTTGTCTGGGCAGCACTTTATCTGCCCTTCCATTCTAAATGATAGCTTTGCTGGATGAGTAATCTAGGTTGTAGGTCCTTGCTTTTCATCTCTTTGTATACGTATTGCCAGTTGCTTCTGGCCTGCAAAGTTTCTTTTGACAAATCAGATGACAGTCTATGGGAACTCCTTTGTAGTTAACTCTCTGCTTTTCTCTTGCTGCTTTTAAGATTTTCTCTTTATCTTTTACCTTTGGCATTTTAATTATGATGTGTCTTGGTGTGGTCCTCTTTGGGTCTAACTTGTTTGGGACTCTCTGTGCTTCCTAGACTTGTATGTCTATTTTCTTGGCCAGATGAGGGAAGTTGTCTTTGATTATGTTTTCAAATAAGTTTTCAATTTCTTGGTTTTCCTCTTCTCCTTCTGGCATCCCTATGATTCGGATGTTGGCACATTTGGGGATGTCATAGAGTTTTCTTATACTATCCTCATTTTTTAAAATTATTGTTTCTTCTTTCTGTTCTGGTTGAATGTTTCTTTCTTCCTTATGTTCAAATTGTTGATTTGAATCCTGGCTTCTTCCCTTCCACTGATGGTTCCCTATAAAATTATCTTTATTTCACGTAGTGTAGTCTTCATTTTTTCCTTTATGTTGTTGCCCTACTCATCAGTGTTTGAACTCTATGTCTGATAGGTTGGCTATCTCTGTTTAGTTTAGTTCTTTTTTCTGGAGCTTTGATTTGTTCTTTCATTTGGGCCAGAGTTCTTTGTCTCCTGAAGGTGGAGCCTCCCTGTGTTTGTTTCTGTGTATTAGGTAGAGCTGCTTTGACCCCCTGTAAAAGGCACCTGTAAATTGTGTGGGGCAGAGCTTTAGGAAATCTCCAGGGTGGGGCGGCCCACTTCACTGCTTTGTGGCTCTCTGTGGGGTGAGGGCTAGTGAGAGGACTGTGCCTCCGCCTGGTTTCTGGGGGTTTGCCTGGCACTTGCCCCATTTCTAGTCACTTCACCCACTTCCCGTATGTGACTGTCTCCCCTCCAGCTGTAGCCCTGGTGTTGAATGCCAGAGTGCGTGGGTTTGTGTATGTTTTAAGACTGTGCGCACCCTTTAAGTGAAGTTTTCTGAAAATCTGGCATTTTCTTCCACCGCCCCAACCCCCACTGGTTTCCTACAGCCAGAAGTTATGGGGATTTATCTCCCTGGCACTGGAACCCCGGCTGTGTGGTCTGGCCTAGGGCTGGGATTGCTTGCTCCTAAGGTATCCCTCACTCCCAAGGTATCCCAGTCTCTGTTCACCACACATGAATGTGGAACCGCCCGTGGCCGTTCTGCCACCACCTCTACGTGCCACACTGCACCATACTGTGTCTCCTTGCCTCTCTGCCTTGTCTCTTCATCTCTGCCTCTCCTCCTGCCTGGGTGAACGTGGCTTCTTTAAATCCTTGGTTGTCAGACTTCCATGCAGCTTAACTTTCTGATGGTTCTGTGTATTACTTGTTTTGAGATTTAGTTGTAATTCCTTTTTGTGTTTGCATGAGGAGGTGATGCATGCCTACCTATGCCTCCGTCTTGACTGGAAGTCCTATATTAAAATATTATTAATAGCTGCCAATCAAGTGATACACAACAATTTCTTTGTAAAGTTAAAATTGACTATAGAATGACTAAATAGAACAGAAGACAAAATTAATATATGGTATACTGCCAGTATTTTAGAGTAATTCTCTTGTTTCTTGTAGAAACCTGTAATTTTTAACATTATTTAGACATTATTTTTAAAAGCCATTCTCTCCTTTTTAATTTCATATATCTTATCTGAAAGAAATACTAGATTTGACCATGTAGGATTATGAAATGATCTCTGTTGGTTGACAATTATCTTTAGTAGTTTTCTGTAGATGTTATTAGAGTCTCTTAATAATCATATATATATATAATTCTTTTATTAATGTGGCCCTCATAATGATATATGCCATGTATGCCATAGATAGGTCATGAAATTTGATTCTTATTTAGTAATATCTAATCTAGGTTTGCTTTTAGTAAAATGTCAGTATGAAAGTTATTTCATTTCAGTTTTCCTTCTCATATTTTAAAATGGTGTTTTAGTAGTTTTTTATTCTTGAACTCATTTTATACTTTGAAAAATGAGTAATTTTTAAAGTTTAGATTTTTTTCCCACTTTTTGAAAAATATATTATAAATTGAAATCTCCTTTAATAGCCATCAATAGTTTAGATGCTAGTGTTATAATGTCTATTTGTAGACACATACTTTAGTGTATTACAGTCAGTGGATTTCAGCTTTATCACAGTTTATATTATTTTTAATGTATTCAGACAGTGCTTTCTTTTGTAATGATAATTTTTTATCTATAAACTTCTAAGCAGACTTTCACAACTTAATAGGTTCGTCAAAAAATGTTGTATGCAGCAACAAGAGCAACTCTGAAAAAGGAGTTTGGAGGTGGCCACATTAAAGATGAAGTATTTGGAACAGTAAAGGTACAAAACTTACGCTTTTGTAATTATACAGGATTGAAAAACTCCTAGGTAATGGGTAATTGATACGAATTCAGTTTGATGAACTTGTAAACATAAGAATAAGAGAAAATATTGTTATATTTCATATGATACATAACATTGTAACATTGCACTTACCCTTAAAAATGTTAGAATCTCCTTTGTTAGACTTTAAAAACTAGAATATACCTCAGAGAGCCTCTGGTTCAACCCCTCGTTTAGTTCGACCATTTCATTTTAATGGTGTGGAAATAGGCTCAGAAAAATAACGGAGTAATTCATAAAGTAATTTTTAGATACTGTGGACATTTATACCCATGTTGTAGAAGCAGTAACTGTTGTATTTAAATCAGAACACTAAGGCAAGTAAATTGATTAAATAGTTAATTGGGATAATTAATTTATTTAGTTAAATTATGACTAAAATGTACTGTTATAAAATTTATATGTAAATACATATATTTATACATATATACACACAAATTGGGGAAATTGAAATGTATTTTTTGAAGAGTTTTTTTAATCTAGACCTTTTATTCTGATTTAGAAAGTAATATAATCTGTTGTATGAAATACAAGATCAAATGGGAATACTTGGCTAATTCACCAATTCTGTCTGGTTTCCCAATTCTGTCCTCAGTTTTCCAAATCACAAAATTTTGATGAAAAGTAGACCACTTTGGAAATATTTTTTCTTTGAGATAACTATCATTATTTTCTATGAATAATTATAAAGAAATTATGTCATTATAAAAAGAATTCAGAATCTGAATATGTTGATTATTAAATAATTGTAGGGCAGGCTTCCCTAGAAGGTTAATGATAATTGTACTTTAAATTATGACTAGGTTCATCTCATTGCTGGCCTTTACCACCGCCGCACTCATAAAAAGACCTAGTAAATATTAAACTTCAGGAAATGAAGAGTAGATTCCCTCCTTAAATTTTTTGAAACCTATAGAATAGAGGATTAAAAAAATAAGAAATCCTCACTAGACGGTATATTTATTTATTTTAGGCAGAGAGGGGAATAAAGGGGGAGAGAGACAGAAAACCATCAGTGAGAGAGACAAACATGGATGGGCAGGTTGCCTCCCGTGCACTCCCTGACCTGGGTGTGCGCTCTGACGGAGGATGGAACCCACACCCTTTTTGGTGCAGAGGATGACACTCCAGGCAACTGAGCCAGCCAACCAGAGCATTTCTACCTCTTTTTCAAGAGAGTAAAGACTTAGGGAAGAGGAAGGAAGAGAGAGAAAGATGGAAAAACAGTAAGGGGAAGAAAGAAGAAATTGTAAAATTATTGATAGTATTTATTTTCAGTTAAAATATTTTCTGTTAAGCCCTAGCTAGTGTGGCTCAGTGGACTGAGTGCTGGCCTGCGAACAGAAGGTTGCTGGTTTGATTCCCAGTCAGGGCACATACGTAGGTTGTGGGCCAGATCCCCAGTTGGGGGCATTTGAGAGGCAGCCAGTCAATGTACCTCTCACACGTGGATGTTTCTCTCCTTTTCTTTCTCCCTCCCTTTCCCCTCTCTAAAAATAGATAGATAAAATCTTTTATATATATATATAAATAAATATTTATATATAATAAATAAAACCTTTGTATATAATAAATAAAACCTTTAATATATATAATATGTATAACCTTTTTATATATATGTATATATATGTATATGTGTATATATATAGTTAAATTAGTAATTTTGTTTGTCCTAAATAACCTCACTGAGGTTTGACTTTTAGAGAATAATAATAGTGCATTTCTCTGCTTACAGGAAGATGTATCACTACATGGATATAAAAAATATTTGCTGTCACAATCTTCTCCTGCCCCTCTGACTGCAGCAGAGGAAGAGTTACGACAGATTAAAATAAATGAGGTAAATTACTGTTTTGAAACCATTGCAAGATTTTAAGTATTTGAAATATATTTTTAATTAATAGATGTAGAGATAACTAGACAATAGAAGGTTAGGTAGCTTACATTTATTCTGTTTAGTTTAGAGACAAGACTGCTGAATGTGTTTTCAGGAAAAAAGTGAATATTAAACCACATCAATTTCATAAATAGCTTTTTTCTGTCATCATAATATATGTGACAGAATAGTAAATCTTTCTCTGTTAGAAGTACAACTGTTTTTAACTCTGTACTTTGAATACTAAATAATGGAAAAAGTGTGTTACCCATGTAGTGCCAGGAATATTATATCTAATGAGGTTGCCTGAAGCAGGTTTGTTTTATGTTATTTCGGATAATAGTGATGACTAAAGAAAAAAAAATAAATGTAATAAAATGAAGAGTTCTAGAAGCTCTGTATATTAGCTTCTATGAACACTACTTGGATGGTGTTTAAATATGAATGTATTTAGCATATTTGAATTAATAAATTCCATATTATAGCTTATCATTTTTTAATGTGTTTACTGCATCCATTCTAATGAAAAGTTAGAAAGGCTACTGTATTTCTACTGGAATTGATAAAAAAGAACAAGTAGCAGAAACCACTATTTACTAGTGTGAGGAACAGACTAATAGGAATTAGTCTGGAAAGTGATTAAATATTATTAAATATTAACCTGATAGCAAGGATCTATTTTTAAATTATTTTACCTCAAATAATTTGAGTAGGGATTTTTATGTAATTTTTTTTTTTTTACAAGTTTGATAGTTTGTTTTATTCCTTGCAATCAGAACCCAGAGGATCGTATTGGGGTATGCACTTGCATATGTTATATGATGTTTTCATTATCCAGTATCATTTATACTGTAGAATCTCCATTCACTTTTTTTTAAAGTAAAATTTCTATTTGACTCTTTGTTGCAACACTGCAAATGAGACCCTATATTAGTTATTATCTCTTGAGTATAAAAGTCTTAAACATAAGCATTGAAAGCTTTCTTGAAGTACCTTTCTTCCAGTACATGTACACCCATATTCTTAATAATGAAAGCTCTGAGTCTGGAACTTCTGCAGTTTGTTGAGCTGTGTTGTGTCTTTGTTTACTGTTTGTACTTCTTTCAGTTCAGTGCATGGTATTTGTGTTTCATTTTATGTATAGTAGAACAAAGTAAATTTCTATATGTAATTATATATATACACACCCACATATGTCACTGTTTATAAATTTTACTATACAAAATTTGATAATTAAGGTGTCATCTGAAGACATTCAGAGAGCCTAGTGGCTCATTGCAGTTGTGCCAAACAGAAACAAAAACCCCAAATGCACCATTAACACTTAGTTCACTCCCAACATTTTCATAAAGATGTGTCATGTGTTGTGCATGTTCACGAGTGCAAGCAGAACATTAACCAATGTGAAAAATTATTTGCTTTTTAAGTTTGTAGTGGTTTTAGTGTTAATTTTAATTACATTGAAATGGGCAAGGGTGGAATGACCACTTTATAGAAATAAAGTTTTGTGTCTTTGCCATATGATACTACTAAATCCTAAAAATTAATCGGTACATTAAATATGTCATACTTAGGTACAAACTGACGTGGGTGTGGACACTAAGCATCAAACACTGCAAGGAGTAGCATTTCCTATTTCTCGAGAAGCTTTTCAGGCTTTGGAAAAATTGAATAACAGACAGCTCAACTATGTGCAATTGGTAAGAGACATATAATGATGACTATGAAATGGCTGCTTTTTTTGGGTAGCTTATGGCTTATAGAAGGTTTATTTTTAATAGATTTAAAATTTTTTATTTGCTTCCTGATTTTTATTTACATTTTTAAACTACAAAGGCAATATTATAATATGTTCATGTGAAAAATTCAAACCTATGTAAGTTTCCCCTTGTCTCCTAGTATTTTAATAACAACTTTTAAATTATCTGTTTAAATGAATATATTTTGTTTCTTGTTGACAGGAAATAGATATAAAAAATGAAATTATAATTTTGGCCAACACAACAAATACAGAACTAAAAGATTTGCCAAAGAGGATTCCCAAGGATTCAGCACGTTACCATTTCTTTCTGTATAAACATTCCCATGAAGGAGACTATTTGGAGTCCATAGGTATATGACACATTGTTTTTAACATGTTGCTTATTGCTTCCTTGGACGACTTAGTTACAGTTTTATGAGGTTTAGTATTTACTTTAATTGACATGCTGCTAATTGTAGTGTTGTTTTTTAACTTAACAGTTTTTATTTATTCAATGCCTGGATACACATGCAGTATAAGAGAAAGGATGCTGTATTCTAGCTGCAAGAGCCCTCTGCTAGAAATTGTAGAAAGACAACTACAAATGGATGTCATTAGAAAGGTAATTATCTACGTATTTATCCATCTAATTTATTTTATCTAATTTATCTATCAACATACTTATCTAGTGCCTACCTACTTATTTAAAAATGTTGCAGTTCTTGCTAGATTTTTACTCTTTCCTATGTAGTTCATGATCTGTTGTGATTTATGAGTATTTTTTCCTTGATCTCATCATAAATCCTTGTGATCTCCTCCACTCCTATCATGGCCCCAACCCTCCCTAGATATCTGTACTCTCAAATATGTAGCCACAAACTACATGTGACTATTTAAATTTAAATATAAATTAAAATTAAATAAAATTTAAAAATCATTGTCTTAATCACAGTAGCCATATTTCAAGCCCTCATTAGCCGTGTGTGTCTAGTAGCTACTGTACTGGACAGTGCAGAATTTAGAGAACATTTCCATATTGTAGAAAATTCTGTCAGTGCTGCTAGAGCTACACTCCTGTGAATGTCTTAAGACTTGTTATTAATAAGGAATTACAGTCTCCATTTATAATTGAATCATGGGATGGTTGAGAATCCATTTATTAGGAAAGGAGGGATTGGACATAAACATTTGAATTTGGGGAGCCAAATTTAGTTTCTTAAATATAGGTGAGGTATGGATGAAGACATGGTTTATTCTTGATACCGTCAACTCTGAAAACCCAAGTCTTTACAAACTACAAGTGTTTTGTGTACTGAACGTTTTATGCTTTTTAAGTTAAGCATCTTCTGTAGCAAGTACTGGTTTTTCCTATACGAGAACCAGATAGTAAATATTTTAGGCTCTGCCATGCCACATGTGGTCTTTGTCATATATTCTTCCTTGTTTTATTTTTACAACCATTTGAAAATATAAAACACAGTTTTGGGCTAGATTGACCTGCAAGCCAAAGCTTGCCATCCCTGTCCTATAGTGATTTTAAGTGACCCAGGTGATGAACCATGAGTAATATTTCTCGAATATAGTGTATCAAAGCGGAACTAGAGAATATAATAGTGGCATCAACTTTTAAACACTAGTTAAATGGAAGAAGAAAGACGTTATTACAGCTGATTGTATATTCAAGCAACGCTTCTTCTACCTCCCCCACAAAAGATGAAAGTGCAACTATTTACATGTGGTCTTTGATTCTCTCTTGCTGGAATGGGTGTTATATATTTATTTGTGAGCATTCAGACTTGGAAACTGGCTCTTAGTAGGTTTTGCATGTTGTACTTTCTCATTTTGCAGTGCTCTTTCCTAATTTTGTCTCTTGCAGATAGAGATAGACAATGGGGATGAGTTGACTGCAGACTTCCTTTATGAAGAAGTACACCCCAAGCAGCATGCGCATAAGCAAAGTTTTGCAAAACCGAAAGGTCCAGCAGGAAAAAGGGGAATTCGAAGACTAATTAGGGGTCCAGCTGAAACTGAAGCCACTACTGATTAATATTATATCAAGTACTACAATACTAGTTTTTTAAAAGTCCAGCTTTTAGTACAGGAGAACTGAAATCATTCCATGTTGATAATGTAGTAAGGGAAAAAATTGTACTTTTTGAAAAATAGCACTTTTCACTTCTGTGTGTTTTTAAAATTAATGTTATTAGAAGTCTCATGATTTCTATTTTTGAGTTGAAGCTAGAAAAGATTTCAACACAGTGATGTTTAATTTTGTCACACTGTTTTCATAGAGTGCTGATTCCACACTTTCACATAATTCTTACAAGTTTTTTACTGATGGGCCAATTCCAGAAAGTCTAATGTCTGAAAGTAAGATGTACTTATTACTCTTTAGTGAGATATCTAATTTTTTTTCTTGAAGGGAGAAAGACCTTAAACTATTCATACTACTTAAGGAATATGTTAGGAACCAGGTTAGATTTTCTAAGCTGAAAATCAGTGTGCCTAAGAAGAGGAGGAAAGTTGCTTACTTTGAGGAGCACTGCTCTCAGAATGAGATCATGCCTGCAACTTTTAGAAACAGTGCTTTATTGCAGCAGTCTTCTCTTTGACTTCTTGGTTTTTTAAATAGCATTAAAATTTAAGAAGGTCACCTCACTCTGAGACCTTAAGGGTACAAGATACTTTCTGTACTGCAGGATTTCTCATGTCATTGAAAGACACGTTTATACAGCTTTAGTTATTTCTCTTTCTAGTGCTTTAAAAAATTTCTATTTCTAAAGTAAGTCATTTTATTATAAGTAGTGTGAGGCCAAGTATTTATGCTCAGTTGAATATTAAATTAATATAATTCAAAAGCAAATAATACTTAAAAGTCAATAATATGAAAAAGTTGTAAACATCAAAATCGATATTTCTCCAAAATATATTTGTAGGCATATGTTGTGCTTTATCACTTTTGAGCAAATATTCAGGTTTAATCAAATTGTTTTAAAGTCCCAGTACTTATTAGCCCAAGACAGATAAACACATAAGAATCTTGTTTCAATTTATATGTTATTTCAAAACACACTGAAGTGTTTTCTAAAGCTTTGCATTTTCAGCTACAACCTACAAAGATTTTGAGCCTCATTTTTCTTTGATACTTGAAATAGAGGGAGCTAGAACACTTCATCACATTTAATCTGTTAAACCTGCTGTGAGAGCCATAACTTGGACGCGTTTTCTAAATGAACTGTGGGGATCCAGGATTTATAATTTTTTGATCTAAACTTTATGCTGCATAAAACAATATCAGAAATGCACATTTCATAGAATACAATATGAAACACTTTTACACCTTATTATCTAAGGTAATGTATGCACCTTTTAGAAATTCGATGTGTGTTCAAGTGAAGCATATTAGAATAATTATAGTTTGACAGATTTTTTTTCCTAGAATTAAGAGTACTTGTGTGGGGTTTTGTTTGTTTACAAATAATCAAACTATAATGTTTAAACATACAAAATAATCAGCAGTAATGTTGCACTTGTTTACTAAAGATATACTTTAAGTTGTTCCATGGGTGCACACATAGACATAACATACACACAAATTTCTGCATTGAGAATCCTGAAGCCAGTAGTTTAAGTCAGAAAGATTGTTGACCTGTCATGAAGGTATAAAATAATTTAGTAGTAAATGTTTTTCTGTACCATTCATGTGCAATTGTACTCTAAATTCCACTACACTACATGAAAATAAATGGACATTCCAGAGTATAGATGTGATTATAAGATCTTAAATTATTATTAAACCAATGATTGTTGAAAATCAGTGATGCATTTGTTATAGAGTATAACTCATCGTTTACAGTATATTTTAGGTGGCATCATCATAACAATGAAAGGTGAATAAAATATTCCCAATAAATTTATATAGCATTGAAGAATTACGTCTTCTGTGGACATTTTATAAGTGCATTTTATATTGCAATAAAATTTTTTTCTCTTTAAGTTGTGTACTAAGTTGGTTTTCTAGTATAACTTTTTTTGTAATGTCTGTATAATTCTGCATAATGCCACACCTGGTGATAACTTAGAAATCCCATTTATCTGTTTATTTGTTATTAACCTGTCTAAACCAAAAAGGATTTTAAAGAGTTTGAAACCTGGGCAAGTTGTATCAAGAGTGCTTAATTTAGATGAGAACTTTCCCACTGCTGCAGCAATGATGAAAATGCCATGAGTTATGTAGTTCCTGTGGTGATAGAAGTACCTCAGTACAATAGGGTGCCCAGTGTGCTTGATATTAAGCTCTTAAGAAACCATCTTGTTCATTCAACAAGTACTGAATGCACTATGGTTTGTGATTCGGTATCGAATTGATCCTTTTTATTAGAGCTATCTGGCAAAATGGGTGTCCTCCATAGCAGTTTTAGAAAAGATAGAGAACTGTCCTCAGGAGGACTGATTAAAAACTTTAAAAGTTACTACTCAGAGGCATTTCTACTCAGAACTAAAATAATGTGCCTGAGGTATGTATTGTAGTTTGGAATATCCTTTCTCACATTTTCTTTGCATATATTGCACAGCCAGTCAGCCATTACAAAAAGTGCTGATTTCAGGGCTTCATATTCAGGGGTTTTGATACACAATGTGTGCCCAGGAATCAGTTCCACAGATGATATATATGTAGCCATAACCATAACGTGGTACAGTTTGCATTAAATGATGTAAATTGAGTAAATTTTTTCCCATTCAGTCAACAAACTTAAGGACTATCACTGTGTACTGGTGTATAGTGGTTATGATTTGTGGTGACATACAGAATCAAATCTAGTCCTTACGGTTGACCTCCAGCTTCCGCACGCCTCAGCCAATCATTGTCTCCTCCCTTGGTCACTCTGCTCTTGCTCGGCTGTTTGCTATACCTTTAAAGGATCAAGCACATTGCTGCCTCAGGAACATTGAGAGTGCTGTTGTCACTGGATCACATTCTAAAATCTACATGTCTTCCTTCCTCAAAGCATGTTTCTTCTTATGCTCAAGTGTCCTCTTAGGTCTTCTCACACACGCACGCACACAGTTCGTCTCTTCTAAAATACAAGCTCAATGTGAGTAAGGGACTTGGATTGATTTCTCTGTTGCATTCTCAGGCCTGAAACAGTGTGTGTAACAGTGGGTATTTGTTGAGTGAGTAAAAGAACGAGAGATTTACCTCTCGTTGAACAGTGGAAAAAGGAACACCTTCCAACAGTGGTAGGTGCAGGACAGAGGCTGTGGCCTCCATGACTGTATTCCTGGCCAGGGGAAATACTACTGACAGAGCCTCTTGCCCTCTGAAGACCATGGTTTTTATCATAAAGAACTCCAGTATTGACTCCTTTCTGATTAGCAAGTGTCTTCCTGTGGGGCTCCTCATTCAGCTGACTGCTCCGCAGAGACCTCTGTTCAGCTGCCAGTGCTGATCTACCACCATATGCACTTGCAAGGATTCAGCCTGGACTTAACTCTGGATGCTTAACTTCTGAAGAAGCAAGCCGTTATTGGGGTAAATTAGTTTCTTAGTTTCCTATTACTGTACCAAGCTGTATGGATAAGATAACATGGGTCCTACCTATACATGGGCACGTGTGTGTGTGTGAGATGCTGCCACTTGCTGGCTAAATGAATCAGTTATGCACTGCTAGTACCGTAATGCATAACATAGAACCCCCAAATGTAGTGGTTTAAAACAATAATTTCACTGTCTACAGTTACTTAACCAACTCTCTTGGTTACTGTTTTCATGGTATATCACCATGCATTTATTGTCAACCTACTGGTATTTGCTTCTTTGAAACTAAAGGTCTCTTATAGACAGAATATAGTTGGATTATGTATTTTTTAAGTCCATTTTCCAATCTCTGCTGTTTAATTGCAGAGTTTAGTCCATTTGCATTTACGTAATTATTGAGAAGGTTGGATTCACATCTGCCATTTTGCTATTTATTTTCTATATATATTATGCCATTTTTGTTCCTCATTTTCTTCCATTACTGCATTCTTTTGTGTTAAATAGATAGAGTCTTCTGTGATATCTTAATTTCCTGTCATTTGTTTTACCTTATTTTTAAGGCAATTTTCTTAGTGGTACCCTGGGAATTACAATTAACTTTTCTTTTTTTCTTTTTCGTTCAAATACATTTGTCTCCATCTTCCTGCCACCACTTCCCCCCGCCCTTCTCCCCCACCTCCCTCCCTCAACATCTTAATTTACAGCAATCTAATATGGACTAATACCAACTTAATTTCAGTAGTATACAGAGACTTCACTCCTGTATAGGTCTGTGCCCTGCCCCCTCCTTTGTGCCATGATTGTCATACAAATTCCATTTCTACACATTGTGTGCCCACCAACAGATTTTAAAAATAGATTTATAAATATTTTAAAACAAAATAGGACAAAAAAAAAGAAGTGACAAAAAATATTTATAATGTTTTATATTTAGCTATGTAGTTACCTTTACAGGTGCATTTTATTCCTGTATGTTTGAGTTACACTCTAGTCCTTTCATTTCAGCCTGAAAGATTCCCCTCTTTTCTCATAGGGCATATTTTATTCTGAGAAATTCTTTCAACTTTTGTTTGTGAATTTCTTATTTTTTCCTTCAGTTTTGAAGAACAGCATTGTTAGAATTTCTGGTTGACATTCTTTTTCTTTTAGCACTTGGAATATAATATCCTATTGCCTCTGAGCTCCATGGCATCTGATGAAAAATCAGCTATTAATTTCACTGAGGATCCCTTATACCTGTTCAGCCTCTTCTTTCTCGCTGCTTTCAAGATTGTGTTTGATTATGATGTGCCCAGGGGTGGATGTCTTTGAGTTGACCCTACCAGCAGTTGTTACTTTCTTGGATGTGTGAAATATCAACATTTTTCATCAAATTTGGGAAGTTTTGGGCCATTGTCTCTTCAAATACTCTTTTTAGAACTTTCTTGCCTCTTTTTTCTGGGACTCCCATTATTCATTGTTGGTAATCTTGAACGTGTCCCACTGGTCTCTGACGACCTGCTTATTTTTTCATTCTTTTTTTTCTTTCTGTTTCTTGATTGATTTATCTTCAAGCTTGTTTATTCATTCAGTTTGTCTGCTCAGATCTGTTAGTGATCTCCTCTAGTGAATTCTTCATTCCTGTTATTGTACTTTTCTACTTCAGGATCATTTCTATTTGGTTCCTATTTATAACTTACATCTCTTTATGGGTATTCTCCATTTGGTAAGACATTGTTCTCATATTCTCCTTTAGTTCGTTAGAAGTGATTTCCTTTAGCTCCTTGAACATTTGTTTTAAGGTCTTTGTCTAACAAATACATTTGGGCTTCCTTCCCAGGTTGTTTCTATTGATTTTTTCCCAAGGTATGGGCTGTACTTTGCTGTTTCTTTGCACGTCTTGTCTATTTTTGTTGAAAACAGCATTTAATGTGGCAGCTCTGGAAATCAGATTTGGCTCCCTCCCCAAGATTTGCTGTGGTTGCTAATTGTTTCAGTTCCTGTTTATTTAGTGACTTAAGTAAACTAATTCTGTGGAGTCTGTTTTCTTTACAATGTGTGGACACTGAAGCCTCTACTCAGCTAAATCATCAGCTAATGAAGGGACAGATTTCCTTAAACATCTGTAACCAATTAATCTCCCAGTATTTGCAAGAAACTCTGTATACATGTCAAGATACACATTCCACAGAAATTTAGACTGTCTTAGTCTTTACTTCTTGCCTGTACAAGAAGTAAAGCCAGAGGTAAAGATTAGAGCCTTCTCAGGTCTTTTTCTTTGAGCATGTGCATGGCCTTACACGTACATGTGGCTTTCTGGGTTCCCAGGAATATATTGGAGACTTTTGCAGCCATAGTGTATATCTTGTTCCTCAGCTTTTCCTTTTAAGCTTTTTGGTTAGCCTATTGTTTTCCCCCAACTGTTATTTATCACCTCAGGCAGCTGTGATTAAAATATTTGCTAGCAAATGTTTTTGACAAATGACTCCACAGAGGGGCTTTTAGCACTAGGTAAGCTTTAGTGAGGTCAAAAAAGATAAGCCTTTGAATGGGAGTCTCAAGGGAACCACCAGAGATCAAATAATTACATTTCTTTTAAAGTAAGGCTTTGAAAAAACTCCAGCTCTCTTCTATTCCCTCCAGTACCAAGAATGTGGGCTGTAATTTTTCAAGGCTACCACTGAGCTAGGGAGCAAGGAATGAAACACTAAGATAAGTTAATATGCCACAAAGCTTGTTCTTACTGAGATTCAGCTGTTTTTCTTGAGTATGTTTTCTGGATTGCTGCAAACCTTTGGTTACATTTCAGCTCTGAAACAGTAAATTCTGATAATTCTTGCCAACTTTTTCATTGTTTTTATGGAGAGGTGAATTTTCAGAGTTCCTTGCCATTTGCCAGGCCTGAATATTTAAGGGCAGATGTTGTTATTGATATTTCTTGGCCAAAAAAAAAAAAAAAAAGTGTTGTATGGCAAAGCTTCCAAATGTGTTTGACAGAGAAATCTGTAGCATGTGCCCTCCATTAACTTATGAATTGATTTAAGAATATTTTACCAAAGAATACCACTACCGGAAGTGATAATGATTTTTTTTAAACGGCTACTGGTCAGCATTTCAAAATATTTAAGGCCACTCACTAACTTATGATAGTCAAACTCCATTGTAAGTATAAAGATGGATGCTAGTCTTTCTCTAAAGTATATGATATTTTCTCCATTTGGATATGCTTTTCCAAATGGATATCTCCCTTTGAGAATATGCTTTTCTTTATAATAAAAGTTCTTTCATTATTTAGACATTTTATAAAGGGGATGAGGAACTAAGGATGTGGTCCCTATTTAACTTTTTAATTCTCCCCACCTGCCAGCTTTACTGAGCTACGACATATAACATTACCTAAGTTTAAAGCATACAACAGTTTAAAATGTATGTGTTGATTTGATACACTTACATACTGTAAAATGATTACCATCATAGCATTAGCTATTTTTTAATCTTAAAAGAGGTGGAGAAACCATCTGGCTATTAGAATGGTTGTATCAGGAAAAAAAGTCACTCAAGTCTAGGATTTGGATTTCAGCAATCTCTGATTTAATTCATGCTACCTAAAATTTCAGAAGACTTAGGTATAAACCAGAATGTTATTTTATTAATCATAAAAAGACACTGCAACAGAAACTGATAGTAATTGTAATAGTTTTTGTCTCGTTGTTACTACATTATCTTCTCAAAGGCAAATTCAGGCAATAAGAAACCAAAATTAAAAGCTACTAAATAAGCATGGAGTTAGTGCAAGGAAAACAGATGAGACGACTGTCACAAAAATTTCAGCAAACTACCCTGATGCATAAATACCCAGTAGAGGAAACCATATGACATAATCTGGAACACAATATTTCTTTCCCCAGGACAGTAGCAGAAACATGACAAAGTCTTATTCTTGGCTCACTGCTGACCTAAAGGCCTCCGATAACACCAGTAACATACAAATAAAACGATTGTTGTTTTTGTTTCTCTTTTTTAAGTTAAAAGTACATTTTAGTCATTATTGAGATTATATACTGGTAGACTTTTTTTTTTTTTTTAAAGCTTTGGTGGTGTTAAAGCTTCTCAGCCAAGAGAATCCCTCTGTCACAATATGTAGTTTTAATGTTTCTTTAACACCTGTCATTACCTGATACCGTCTTACTTATTTACTTATATATTGGCATCTCCTTCTGAACAGACTTTCTCCTGATAAATTCCTTGAGAATAAGGGCTCTTGTATATCCACTGTTTTTATATCTGCCTGAACTATTGATTATTGTTTTAGGTCAGATTATTTTGTAAGATTTTTCATAATTTAATCAGAGGAATAAAATATTAGCATTAATTTGGAGATTTACTGCCATAGCCTCTATAATGACTATTTCTGAGATTAGAATTTGAATGATTAAAAAGCTACTTCTATCTTACAGTGGAATAGTACAAACTTTAAAGGAATTTGGAGAGAGGATGGTCAAAAGGTATAAACTTTCAGTTATAGGATGAGTAAGTTCTTGGGATCAAATGTCCACCATGATCATTAACAACACTGTATGGTATACTTGAAACTTGCTAAACAAATAGATCTTAAGTGTGCTCACCAAAAAAAAGTAACTATATGAGGTGTTGGATTTTTTAATTAGCTTGATTATGGTAATCATTTCACAATGTATACATATAACAAGCGATCATGTTGAATACCTTAAGTATATATTGGGTTGGCCAAAAATCCATATGGTTTTTTTCCATAAAATGAAAGACATATTTTCATTTCCACCAATAACTTTATTGATTTGGATATTTTGAGTATGTTGCCGATCTCCCATGTGATATAACGTTGATTGTTCTCAATTAACATCTCTATTTGATCGCTGCCAACTTCAACTGGTCCGCCTGACTGTGGGGCATCGTCCAGCAAGCAATCTCCAGCACGAAACCTCATAAACCACTTTTGACAGTCAGCCACAACAACTTCTCCATACACTCGTTAATTCTCCCCACCTTCCAGCTTGAAATAATAAAGCATAATATACCAGAAATGTTGCATAGTTTCTTTCATCTTCAATATAAAAATGACTAAACAAAAATTTACCAATTTTGATGTTTTTAAAAAATGCATGCTGATATGAGAGCTGCATTATACAATTTAAAAAATTTTTGAATGAAGGTAAAGACAGCTAAACACTTAAGAGAGCCATCTTACCAAAAAAAAAAAATGAACTTTTTGGCCAACCCAAAAACGATTTTTATTTATCAGGTATGACACAATAAAACTGGAAAAAATAAAATATATGCTGCTTATTTTGAAAGTGAATAACAAAACTATGAATAGCTGAAATCTATGGCCATTTTACATGACTACAGAACCAAAAAGTGGGCAGAGCAATGAATACTTTAGAATATCTTAAATTTCTCTTAATTATATATTAGAAAAGTGAAACAAAACTTTGACTAATTGTTCCTCATAGAACATAATGAGAGAAAATAGAATTTAAAAATTTGAGTTGGCTAACTAGCAAGCCAATGGGTCAGAAACATGGTAATAAAAACAAGTTGCGCTCTCTGGTAACGGGGTTGGTGGGGGATTCTCAGCCACATTGTCATTACTCATTAGTTTGCACAATCAGTTGTTGGAGGTAACATTAAAAGTTCACATCAAAGCTTACAAAACTTGTCAAAAATTTTTTCAAATATCTGTTTAAATTTTTCTGTTTTAATAAAAAATTAGGAGGAAGCATATTCCCAATGAAGAAAGGCTTCAACTAGATGTCACCCCCGGCTTTTTGTTTCTGCCTGAGGGGAATGGTGCATATAGCCCAGACATTATTCTCCTTCGAACTTTAGTGAAAGTCCTGTTCATGTGTGAGCTGAGGACAACCCCTCTGCTGTTCGTTCTCACAGCTAAAAGAGTCACACAAGTTTAGCAGTCCATGATGCAACAGGCACAATCAGGCAAAAAGATGAAACTGTGGTTCATGCTTTGGAATCTTAAATTTATTGTGTTATTCCCACCCAAAGAGTTAAAGCACAGTCATACTGTGAGAGGGGAGCTGGGCCTAATTTTGATAAATCTGCTATCAATTCCACTGGATGGAATAAAAACATCTACTAAAGAATACTGTAACATTTTCAAAATCAATGAAATGGTTTACTCATTTAAAAAATTTGAATAGTTTGGGTAACATTCCATACTCAGAGCTATATATATGCTATTTTACATAAATGCTTTTATTTCAAGAAATAGTTACTTGTATTTTAAAATAGTATAATTATGTTCAGTGTTATAGATCATACTGTGCCTCAAACTATGTGGGTTCCTACTGAGATTAATTTGACTAAGTCATTTTACTTATTTTCCTTTTCCCTTTTCAACTAGCAAATGTTTCTTTCTGCTTACTTAATTTACAAAAGTTATTAGAAAGATGTGCTATTTTTCTTTCCCAGGAAACCATTTAAGAAGATCTAAGAAATACAATATAAAGATTGAGCATCTTCCCCTGTACCCCACTGTACATACTCCTGTTCTTAGTGTGTTAATGGAAGAACTAAAGATATAAAGCTTACTGAATGAATGAATGAATGAATGAATGAATGAATGAATAATTGCAGACACTTGGCATTCCGTCTATACATATTAGCTTTTCTATCAGCCAGTTTTCATGCTTAAGTAAATTACTTCCTTCTGCTTACCCAAAGCTGAAAAATAAATTTTCAAATAATAAAAAACCAATGGAGACTCTTAAACTTAGGAAAAATAGTTAAAAGTCATTTAAAAGTCAATTCATCATCATGATCCAGAGATCTCTCACTCTCTGTAGTAAAACAAACACAAGAATAGGGACTGAGGAAAATTGAGAAATCCAGTGAAAATCAGCACACTTCAACCCCCTGCTGTACACACTGTTTAACCTCCTTCAACCCCTTGAGTGTGGGCAGAACATGGTGGCGTGTCACTGTGGGAGAACCATCACGGGAATATCTGTATTCATTTTCTGTAGTTGCATAATAACTTAGCACAAACTCAGTGGCTTATAGCAACTCATTTATTATGTCACAGTCCTGTGTATCAGAAGTCCAGGCAGAGCTCAGCTAGATTCACTACTGAGATTCTCACAAGGCCAAAATTTAGGTGTCAGCCGGAGCTATGGTATCATCTGAAGTCTGGAGTACTCTCCTAAACTAATTTAAGCTGTTGGAAGAATTCAGTTTCTTGTGGTTATATATCTGAGGACCCAGTTTGTCTTGCTCGCTGACAGCCAGAAAGTAACTCATCTCCTGGAGGCTGCCCTTAGGTCTTAGCCAATGTGGTCTTTTTACAACATGGTAGCTTCCTTCTTTATTAAGGCCCACAGAAGGATCTCTCAGACATCTTGTAAGAGCCCACCTTATTAAATCAAGCCCACCCAGCACAGTCTCCCTGTTGATAACTCAGAGTCAGCTGATTAGGAACCTTAACTCCATCTGCAAAATTCTATCAACTTTGCCACACAACATTAATCTAATTATGGACAAATCATGGCAGGCACATGACCCTATAAACAAATGACTGTAATAAAATTTTATAATCATCTATATAAACCTTAAATCTTATATCACTTTATAAGGTACAAAGTACTTGTAAACATTCTGCATCTCTTGATATTCATGACTATGCCAGAGAGGCACAGTAGGAATTATTAATCTAATGTTACAGGTAAAAAAACCAAGGCTCAAAGCAGCTAAGAGATTGCCCACAGCTTTACAGAAAACTAGTAGTGGAGTTGAGCTTCAGCCCAGGGTCTTTCATTCTACAGTCCAGTTCTCTGTTTTGCTAATCTACAAACTTTCAAAATGTGTCTGATGAGGTTTCCAAGAAGATGTCTCAGGGATTACTGCAAGAGCTAAGGGTGACACTAAGAAAGTAGGGCTAAGCATTGACATGGCAGCTCTACTTTTGTTTGTTCCCTAAGTTTGGGGTGCTACATAAGCTTTAATAACCACTGTATTGCACCATGCTGCCTTCTTAGAGGTAAAAAGGAATGCTTACCAAAAAATTTAGTCTAAAAAATTGTTTTGGTAGCTGTGTATAAAAAGCCAAGTGTCTATTCTACTAAAGTTTCAAGAAGTCGTCATTTCTTGTAGCAGCTGTTGGACCTTTCATGAAGAAAGAAAGAAAGAAAAAACAGAAAGAACCATATTACATAGTTGGTTTGAAATGTACACCCAGGGAAAAAAGTGACAAACCCCACCTTCACTTTTTAAGTAAGTGTAAAAAATTAATACCTTCTTAATGTCTGGTCTCTTGTTTTTCTTTTCATGCAGACATTGACTGGCAACAGAATACATAGTTTCAATGGAAGTGAAATCAATGTCATTCATCTTCCTATCAATATAATCTTCAATTGTCTTTTCTTCATCTTCAATTTCTTCTTTAATATCTAGCTTTAAAACAAGTGTTAAAATTTCGAGTTTCAAACGAAAGTGAAAAACTCAGAACATAAATTTTAATTATTTAATCTACTTAATAACATGTACTCTTATTTTACTGTCTACTTTTATAACCTTATTAAGAATTGAAGATATACAGTTACATACCTCCTAGACACTCTTCTTTTGCCTTCTAATTTTTTTATAATCCCTACCCAAGGATTTTTAAAAATTATTATTGATTCAGACATACATTGCCTGAATTTGTCATACTGGTTTGTCCCATTAGAACATGTAAATTAGAATGAAGTCATGTAAGTTACTTAAATAATTTTAAGAAAACCTTATACTCGATAGCAGATATTTCTGTAAATCTTCACTTTTATAAAAAGACCCTGTAAGTTCTTAAAATTTACGACACTGGAAAAAAAGGGTCATGGAATAATTTTCCAACAGCTTTAGCATTCAACTAGTCTATATGTGTAATTTGTGTAATTGTCAATTAGTGTCTAATATAACATAAAAGTAATGTTTTCTATGATAACTTCATAAGCAAAATATTCTGTAACAGAAATGGATAAAGAATTTTGCTAGGAATTCCATTCTGATACAAATTTGAAAGGAAGCCATGTTGTTTTTTCTAGAGGAACTGAAAGGCAGTTAGTAATCACTCTGAAAGTAACATAAAAATATAATGGAGATGACCTCAGAAACCATAGAGTTCTATTCTGATTTACCCACTAAAAAACTAGAATACAAAATATATAAATGACTTTTCCAAGCTTCACAAATACTTCATGGAAGAGCTGAGATTAGAAATATTTGATGCTCTTCCTGTATGCTACTATGTAATTGCCAATAGAAAATGGCATTTCTGGTTGCCAAATTTACCCATATAGATTTAGATTATAAATGCAAAAAGAAAAGGACTGGCAGAAATGAATCTTTCAATTACCAATAATTGAGGTTCCCGATGTTCATCCACAGCTGGAAGTCCAGTTATTATTTCTAATAAAACCTATGATGACAAAAAACAAAACAAAACATGAAATCCATTAATCTAACACTCAAGGCAACAGAAACTAGAATGCATATGAATCTTGATTACAAAATCTGATTAACCATTTCCACACACTGCATCACATCTTTTAGGCACTAAAACAGAAAGAACATGAGCTGTGGTCTTTCTCACCACCCTTCCTTCACAGACTCCTTGGATCCCACTCATCCCCACCAGCAGTTCTTTTCTGTTGGCATCTTACTAAACAATTAGCTCCACTCAACATGTGTTCTGGACATTCCTTTCCCTGTTTTGCCGGGAATTCTGCACAAGAATAATTTTCTCCGGCTCTTAGGAGAATGTTATTTGCTAAACTTTAGGAATATCCTACAACCCTGTGCCTTATGTTCACAATGTTATGAAGTTAAAATTCCATATGTAAAACACATATGAAAAAATAAGATGAAGAAGCACCAATTTCTCCAACCATCGCCACTCCCTCTCTATCTTAGAAGTTATCAGGAATAGACCAGTAGATCAGAGAATGCCAAAGCTTATTTCCTTTCAAAAATATAGTTTTTAAATATGACATTAAGTGCATACTGTATGCCATGATTTATTTTATGCACTGATTTAATTTACATTTCATACTAATTCCTGAGGATAGTTGTGGCCAAAAAAATCATTTCTTGCAGTAATTTCAGAAATCAATATAAAAGCTTTACAAAGTTGGAATAGTTTTTGTAACTTTCTCATTTAACTAGAGGTTAAAGTAAACAACTTACAGAGAGTTAAGCAAGACAGGTGAATTCAAAACATTCTACTTCAATTTCATAATTACCAGTATTACTAGAATGATTATTGTTACCAGTTATATGTATGAAACTTACAACACCAAAGCTGTAGATGTCAGATTTGGGTGTTATTTCTCCTCGCAAAGCTTCAGGTGCCATATAAGCTGTTGTTCCCACAATTCTGCTAGTCATGACTGTCTGCGAAAACTTCTCAGAAGCCCGTGCAAGCCCAAAGTCAGATATTTTGGCTGTAAAGTCTTCATCTAGTAAGATATTTGCACTGCAAAAATGTAAAGTTTAGAGGAAAAAAAATGTTTTTCCCTTCAGACAAGTCAAATCATTCTTTAAATAGGTGTATGAATGTATTTAAAGAGTATTCCAGTTTATAATATTGAGTTGGCCAAAAAGTCTGTTTAGATTTTTCTGTAAAAATAAAAGATACATTTTCATTTTCACCAATAACTTCATTGATTTGGATACTTTGAGTGTGTCAGCTATCTCCTGTGTGGTATAATGTTGATTGTTCTCAATGTCTTGATTTGATCACAATCTGCAACTGTTCTACCTGACCATGGAGCATCATCCAGCAAGAAATCTACAGCATGAAACTTCGCAAACCACTATTGACATTCAATCAGTCACAGCACCTTCTCCATAAACTGCACAGATCTTTTTTGTATTTCAATTGCACTTTTACCTTTCTTGAAATAATAAAGTGTAATATGCTGAGAATGTTGCATATTTTCTTTCATTTTCAACATTAAAATGGCTACACAAAAATTCACCCATTTTGTTAAGTTTTTTTTAAATGCATGCTGATATGACAGCTGTCACAATACAACGTAACACAATTGTCTTGAATGAAATTAAAGACAACTAAGCACTACTAGAGCCATCTCACATAAAAAAATCAAAAGAACTTTTTGGCCAACCCAATATACATCATAAAAGCCTGAAATTTGTGTAAATAAATCTAGATTTCAGATTAAATCTTAAGAGAAATGACTCTCTTCTTGTTTCTTGAGAAAAAATTTTAGGAGAATAAAAATGAAATAATACTGTTTGCATTAGTCAGAGATATTTTCATTATTTCACAAATCATTTATTACAGGGTCATTTCCCTTAGAGTCTCCTGAAGCACCATTCCTAATTCCTTTCCTAACATTTCTAAGTTCACTTAAAAACAATTTTCCAACCCAAGTATCTCAATTATTCATTTCTTGATTCTTTTTTTTTTTTGTGCTATCTGAAATCTTTTGAAGAGGAAAGAATATAGCTAAAAGATCTTCATTATATGCATTCACTCATATATTCATACTTTCATTCCACAAAACTTATTGAGGACTCTGTATGGTATTAATAGTATTTAAGCTCAGTGCTAGGCATGGAGATCTCTTCAAATATGTATGCCACAAAAGTACATGCATAATTTTAAAAAATCCAGTAAGTACTCTGTAAAGGTGATATTAGGTACAAAAATGCAGACAGAACAACCACGTGACTGAAAGAACTGGGGAAAATTTCAAGGGAAAGCATGCTTAGTCTTGAGTGATTATTATAGGTTGATGGTTATATGAGAGAAAGGCATTTCAGGCAAATGGAGCAACATGTAATAGTGATTAAAACATAAAAACATATGACCAATTTCAAGAAACTGGTCAGGTATCCAGGTTTGATTTTTAGGGCCATACCCTGACAATGTAGTAATGAACAGGTAAGTACTGGACAGGTTAAAAAGACAGGTTAAAGGCTGAGCAGGAGGGTTTATAATAAAATTGATGACAGAAAGTGAGCGTGTAAATAAGGGCAGAGCAATAAGGAGAAAAAGGACATCTATACTCTTTGAGTGTTCTAGATTAAGACATGCATGTGCATAGTGAATAGAAAGAGAATAAATTATTTCTTAAAAATGGTTTTCTAAATGCAGTCTTTACCTTTTAATATCTCTATGAATTTGATGGTTTTCATGTAAAAAACTGATACCATCAGCTGCTCCCTGAGCAATCCTGCATCTCATGTGCCAAGAAAGTGGTGGAGTATCATCCTTATGAAGTAAAAAACAAACCGATTAGAAAACTGGAGGATAAAAATAACTACAGAAAATACATAACAAAAAATTTTTCTAAGCAACTTTTAAATGGGGGTTAGCACTTCTCATTTGACAATAAAAGTATGTAAAAGCATCTTCAAAGTGTAGCCTTGATTAATATTTTACATTTTATATTATCACCTAATAGAATGGCAACCCCCATTTAATATAGCAACTGTACAATTTTCATAGAGCAGGAAAAATATTAAGATGAACAGAGTTTAAGTGATCCTGTCTCTTAAGTGGATTAAGTGAGTATTAGTATCTAACAGAGAAACAGAGAACCAAAAATCTGATGAACAAACATCTTACCAAACAAGACAGTCTGTCTAGCAATGAACCATTAGGCATGTAAACATATACTAAGCAGAGGTCATCTCCATCACTTGAGAAACCAAGCAGTTCTACTAAATTTTCATGTTGGCACCTGTGACAAAATTTTCCACTCAAAATTATTACAATAGATACATGTATTCAGCTGTAAGTTGGAAGTTACTCAGTTTAGAGCTTTAACAGAAAAAAGAGCAAGATAATAATATGTTACATATCATTTTAATGTGATATATGTTTATATATGTTTATTATAACTATAATTTTCTGCAAAGAGCTTCCCTTTTAGTAATACTGATCAACTTAGAAGCAAAATATCTTTCTATTTTATAGTAAAAGCACAATAATTCAAACCACTGGAACTTGTGATAGTTTGGTTAAGGAATAAGCTGATTTACCTTTGTTTAGCACAATTTTCAAATACAGCACAAACAAAATTTCAAGAAATCTGTTGAAACTTGTATGACAGCCCTTTCAAGAACACATTAATACATCAAAAGCACTGATTTACAGATATAATGATTTTTAATCACATTTAATTTACACATTTCTGATATTTAATCATATCTGATTATTTATAACCTAACTTGAGTTTCTTTATATACTGAAGAGTAAAAAAACCTAAAGAGAGCTTAAGTATAACAAAAGACTCCTGTGACACAGTAAACTCTGGGCTAAGTGCTCAAAAGCCTAAGTTTGAAGTCCATATCTGCCACCTCCTGGATATGTGAACTATAGCAAATAAACAACTCGCTGAGCCTCAGCAAATTTACCTGCTAAATGTGGATAATACCTATTGTGTAACATGGATGCTGTGAGAATTAAGTGAACAAATATCAAGTGATCAAGTGAACAAGAGAGCCTAGAAATGTCCTAGAACATAATAAGTATTCCATCCAAGTGCTTACTCATTTTGTTCATTCAAAATGATCTAATTCTGGCATTTCATTATTTCAAATCAGATTTTGACTTGAAATCAGTCTACCCTCAAAAATATTTTGTAAAGTGCAAATTAAGATGACAAGTGTTCCATGTTCCAGCAAAATGGCACATTTTAGAAACACGTAGATAACATTTGGTGAGTTTCTACTATACATAAGGCACTATAGTAAATAAGGCACTATAGTAAATAATTTAACTGCTTAATTGATTTATTCCTCACAATAGCATAATGAAGTAAGAACTATTATTATCCCATTTTATAGATGGGAAAACTAATGGAGAGAGGGCTAAGAAACATAGGTAAGGTCATTCTTCTAGTAAGTTCCCGAGATTGACACCTATTTAAAAATAGTAATAACATTCAGTGGCGATGAGGTAGCAGTGAGGTTTGAAATTGTAATATATTGCTGGTAGGAGTATTCATTATCATAACTTATCTATTAGGCCATTTGGACATATACTTGGAAATCCTTTAAAAAGTTCATGCAATCTGAAGCAATAATTCTTCTAGAACTCTATCCTGATGAAATAAGCAGAGTTGCATTTAAAGATTTATGTATAATATTGAATACAAAGAAATTTAAAGAAGCTTTAATTTGAAATATTGAAAATCAGAAACAAACCTAGTAGGGAAATGGTTAAACAAAATATAATCCTCATCTATGCTAGAATTTTATACAATAATTTTCAATGTCTTAAAATTATTTTTAATGACCTGGGGAAATCCTACATACACATCATCAAGAAAGTACATCAAATATTAGCAGTGATCATCTCTCGGTGATAAAATTAAAAGACAATTTTTATTATTTAAAAAATATAGTTTTAGAATTGGAGACTGGGAATAGAGGTAGGGAGAACAAATTGTGAAAGTTTTACTTTTTATTAGTATGCATTATTTTTACTGTGAATGAATTAATTCCAGTCTATTATTTCTTTCTTGAGGTTATGCAACTAGAATTAATGATTTATAGCAATGGGTCTAATGAGAATTCTTATATAAAGCTCAAGCTCTGGAATCAGACAGATCTGGATTTGAAACCCAGCTCTAATATTTATTGGCTATGTGGTTTTGGGCCAGTTACTTAATCAATCTTTCTAAATCTCAGTGGGGAAAAAAATGTTGCGAGGGGGTGGGGGAGGTTATAACAATATTGTGAGGGTTAAATGAGAAAATGCACATAAAATATATTGCACAGTGTCTGGTATATTGTATATACTCAAATATCAATATTATAATTATTATGATAAATTTCCTAATTTGTTTCTGTTACTTTTCCTGATGATGCCCAACTATTTTCAAGCATACTGGGTCAATGCCTTCTATGCATTCTTGCATATAACACTTCTATGGTCTATCGGTGGTAACTTATATCTAAGGGCCTATTATTTTTTTTGTACTTCTACAATTTTTCTCTCATAAACTCTGGAAATAGAAAACATGATAATGGAAGAGAGTTGAAATTCCATCTAACTTTGCTTCGATTTAAAATAATGACTGCTGTTTAACCTACAGGCATATGGGTATATGTAGTCATAGGACTGTAGTCAAAGTTCTTTCAGTTCCTCTAATATAAACCTTCATTTCATTTGCACATATCTGAGAACTAGTAATGTCCATATCTGAGAACTAGTGATATTCAGATATTTGCAAATGAAATGAAGCACACTGTGGGAAAGAAACCAGGTCCCTCACTCCTTGCTGTGCTCTTTCCCACTCTACTCCACCACGAAATTAACTTACTTTGCCATTACTTTTATTTCTTGATCAAACTGTTGCCTCAGTTCTTCAGTACTAATGTCAACCATCTGAAAAAATAAAATATATGCAGTAGGACACAGTACAATAACCATAAGGCTCCAACACCAGAATGTGACTCAAGAAATTGATTGACTGATACTGCTTTCCTTAAAATAGTAAGGCATTATTCTTACCATTTTATGAAATAACTGAGAACTAGAAATATTAGTGATTTGCTCAAGATCCCATGGCTGGTTAATGGAAGACAAACAATCTTATAAACCATATAACCATATACAACCCACTGAGTTATTGTGGGAATAAAAAAATAATACGAGACTTCACTGCATAAACATTTTGAAAAAAAATTCTGTGTAGTAGAAAACATATGCTAATTTCAAGGCAAAAAGAAAAATAAAACCTGTAAAAGTATTTTTAGTATGTATAACAGGGTGACTATCATATAAATATATATTATCTTGATACTATTAGAATATAACAACAAATGTAGAATATAACAAATCAATAAGTAAAAGGTGACAAAAGATATAGACAAGAAATTTTTCAATTTTTTCTTAATGTTTATTAAGAAAAATAAACTTTATTTTTAAATAAGAAAGTAATATAAGAAAGTTATTTTCATAAAATTTTTTAGTATCTTATTTGAATCTTTATTATGCATGAAGCACAATATAAAGCATGGGTTTTCAACTTTATTTTGTGAGTCTCCCATAATTGTATGTATGTATGCATAACCACATTTTTGTAGGTCTAGGACCCATAGCTTTCAACAGATTTTTAAATGTTAAAAACTATCAGCTTAGAATGATGTTTATTTAAAGAAAATATGCTCTGAAATAATGTATTTCCTAAAGATTAATTTAAAACTTGTTATACAGCACACTAGGAAGTAATTCTTTCCTGAAACCTTTTTAGCCTTGAAAGTATAACTTACTGTTGTAAGTCTCTTCACTGCCACAGTTCTGTTGTTCACATAGCCTTTATAAACAACTCCAAATCCACCCTCTCCCATTTTGTTACCACCAACAGAAATGGGTCGTTCATCAAAGTTATTGGTGACATCTTTCAGTTCATAAAATGAAAAACTGTGAAAACCTGTAATGTCAATAAAATAATGGAAAAAGTGCTTCAGTAAAAATGAAATTGGTTTTAATAATACCAGTATTTTCTCAATTTAAATATTTTATATCTAAATATTTATTACTTTCAATTAGATAGAATGGCAGAGAGCAAAACCATTGCTAAATAAATATCTGGGGACAGCTATAACTGAACAATAAAAAAAATTTTAGTCACTTACTTACTTTATAAAATAATCCTTTCAAGTTATGTAAATATTTACTATTGGCTCTACGCACTGATAACACAACTGACAAACAATGAAGATGGTGCCTAATAAATCAGGAGGGACAAATACACAAAAGAGTTTTTGTCAATGTGCACAAACAAAAGGAGAAATCTGTTTTTAGCAGTAATGGTCTTAATGGCAAACTACTGGCATAGCGATTCTCAACCTTTTTCATCACATCTAACTACTGAAATTCTGCACACACCAAAAAAATAGATATAATTGTGATTCATTCACACTGGACAGCTATTGTTGTGTTGGCTGCTGTCCTTTTTGAAATTTGACAATCTAAAGGAAAAGAGGTCAGTGCCCCTGACTAAATAGACAGGTATTGCATGTTTTACAAATTCCTGCAGCACACTAGTTGAAAATCACTACACCAGTGGAATGGACTGCAAATGTCACTTACGTGTATCGCTAACTTCTAAACTTCCTGGACTTGAAGAGTCGGGTGGGCTAAACGTTTGTTCAGGATTCCACTCAGGTATCACAGATGTTTTGTCTATGTCATAGAGAGGCCTCTGATTCTCCTCAACTGTTACAGCTTCTGTACAAGGTAGTGTATTAACAGTTTTGGGAACAGCATCTGCCAAATGAAGATACAAGTTGTCCATCCATAGAAAAAGTGTTTGTGAAAAAGTTAAGCTAGGAGCTTGGTTCATTTAACATCATTCCAGTTTCCACGTTAGTCCCATATTCTTACAGCACACACCAGAAGCTACCTAGTGAGAATTGTTTTGTTAAAGCTGGGTAAGGTAATGTTTTCAAAAGTGGTCTATGAGCCACTTTTGACCTGCATCAGAAGCACTGAAGTACTTGTTTAAAAACATAGCCCTTGCACTCAATTGCATAATTGTGATAATGATGTCTATAATAGAGCTCAGGAAGCTACCTGTTAAAAAAACCCCCAGATGATTCTTATGTACACTGAAGGCTGAGAACCACTGGTATAAATGACATCAAAGGGAAAAATTAAGGTTATGAGGAAGGTACTAAGAAACTAATCCACCAGCATAGTGTAGGGAAATCATGACCACAGAGTCCCATTGGGATGGAAGTCCAGGGTGAAAAAAAAGAGTTCCAAAAAAGATACCCATAATAAAAATAAATTTCCGTCCTTCTAAACTTTTTAGTGGCACAAAACTACCCACTTTGATAGTGGGATAAAACTCAATCATGAAGCCTCCATCTCCTTAGCAGTAATCAAGTCTGTAGTGCCTTGTGTCTGGGGTGTTTGTTAAAAGTTGGGGGGAGTTGAAAGAATAAAAGGAGTCTCAAATGTCAGGTTTTTCTACTAAGGGAAAAAAGTAAGAGTAAAAAGAAATATTCCTATTTCTGCCACTTTTCATTGTTGATGCCCTAGTCACACTGAGTTTACCTGGTAGCAAAAGACTCGCAGGGGCAAAAAACTCATTTTGGATCAAAAGGTCCACAAGATCGCCAACAGTGCAATTTGTGGTGCCCCAGTCAAACAGTAATTCACCAGTGGGACTTTTTCCAGTTTGAAGTAATGCTTCAAATCTCCTTAAAGACAAGTAACAAAGAAAGAAAATTAGTATGTAAACAGAGTTAATAGGAAAATAGGAATTATTTCCCTGTCACTTTCTCCCACAGCACTTCCTACAATATTAAAGAAAAGAGGCAATAAGAAAACCAGCAATAATTACAGAGACTAGGAAAGATAGGTAGAAGGAAAAAAGATGCTGAAGGCGATGATAATATAAGTTAACACATATTGACTTCTTACTGAGTATTTGCTCAGTGGGCTACAGGACGTACACATATGAATTATTCTATCCTTAAAGATACTGTGAATAACATTCTAACTTAATAATGAGAAATCAAGGCATGGAGAGGTAAAGTAACAAGCCCATAGCCACATAGCCAATAAGCTGTATATAAATTGAGATCCAAATTCAGATTTCACTTGACATTAGAATGTGTCCTCAATTTACGAAGCCATATTACTTCCCTACATGACATATTAACTCTGCTAGCCATATAATTCTTAACAAACCAGCCTGCTTAAAATAATAGAATATATATAACCTTGGATAATTATTCCTTTGATCTTAACTACATTTCAATTAAATTAAAAGGAAAACACAGATCAGTTTCTCATGTTCACTTCTTTAAAAATTAGTTTTAGAGGAGCATTTGAGATCTTGCTTTCCAGCATTTGTCATCAGCTGGGCTCAAATAAACTCATAAAAATCCTAAAAAAAATTAGTTTTGAAAAATAACATTTAAAAACTTAACATTTTTCCTTTTTTCTTAATTTTTTATTTTGAAAAATTTCACACCTACATAGAAGTTGAAAAAATAATACCATGAAGGTGTGAAATCATTTACCCTTCACGCAGATTCTCCAACTGACCAACTGCTATCATTTTGACCTATTTGTGCTCTTGTGCTCCCTCACTATTTGAGTCTGTGTGCACATGTGCATCACATCTGGAGGCACATAATGGCAGTTTGTACTATTACTGGTGACACAAAGTTTGATTACTTTGTTAAGAAGGTGTCCTTGAGGTATTTTCTCTATTTTGTGAAGTTCTCTATTCCCCCTTCATAATTCATAAGTAACCTGTGGCTAATACTTTCAAATCTTGTGCAGTCTTTTTTATCAATATCCTTTTACTTAATGATTTTTTAAGCACTCACTGTGAACCTTGGGTGAATCAATTACTCATTAGTGATTGTAAATTGGTAATTTTCTTATACTATCATTCTTTTTTAAAAAAGATTTTATATATTTATTTTTAGAGATGGTGAAGGGAAGGAGAAAGAGAAGGAAAGAAACATCAACGTAAGAGAGAAACATCGATCAGTTGCTTCCTGTACACCTCCAGATCAGAGACTGAAGCCACAATCCAGGCATGTACCCTGACTGAGAATTGAAATGGCAACACTTCACTTTGTGGGACGACACCTAACCAACTGAGCCACACTGGTCAGGGCTCTATCATTCTTTCAATAATTATTGGCTGCCATTATTCTGCTAAGAAGAGCTTTTTCTCCCTACCACTACCTTCTCAACTTTCCTCCAAAAGTTTTTAATAGTGATATCAATAATCTATCCTTATAAATAGGCTTTCAAGCTTTAAACTTAATCTTCTTCTAAGTAATTTAAAATGTTCACCCTTAATATGAGGAAATGTTTCCTCGAAGGGAGCTATGGTTTTAGGTTCTTTTTCAGGTTAATGCTGAAAATCACAAATACATTTCTTTTCCTCTTGCTTCTAAAGACAGATTTTGACACTGGTCTGAGCTTAAAAAACTGACAAAAATAAAATTTGTACTTATACTTTACACTAAATCAAACAGAGGTGAATAAAAAGAAAGAACAGAAATTATCTGCCCAGCTGGTATGGCTCAGTTGGTTGAGCATCATCCTGAAAACAAAAGGTCACCAGTTTGATTCCCAGTCAGGGCACATGCCTGGGTTGCATGCAGAAGGCAGCCAATCCATGTTTCTCTCTTACAGTAATGTTTCTCTCCCTCTCTAAAATCAAAAATAAAAATTGAAAACAATATATTTTAAAAATAATAGAAATTATTTGAAGATTGTGTTGAAAAATCCTGACCAAGAACTAAAAATTCTGTTCATCGAAGTATACGTTGCCAAGCAACTATGAGGTGACAATTTGAATTACCAAAATACACAGAGTGAATTAGAGATTCACACACATAGATGTTTAGGTGCCAGAATTTTGTTAGCAATTCTATAATCTTATGATACTTCAAACTGGAAATAAGTATAAAGCAGAGTGAACTGTACTCTTCAGCTTGCCAAATGAAGAACTAAAATAAAAGTGGGAATCTTGACTCTAACCCAAAAACTTATTTGCAAGATCACTACATTACCCTAGCTGAATGAAGCAAACATTGCAAAAACAGAGGGGTGATGTTTATTACCATTTTCTCCACTGGAGGGAGGTTTATTTTCTGAAATTCAATATTAGATAGCATTCATAGCTATTAATCATTCTAGACTGTGATGTAAGAATTTAAAAAGAAAAAGAATTTTATGTTACCTTATGTGAAACTGATTATATCTATCATCACCAGATGGTTTTTTAATAGCTACTGCTAACTTCTTCCATCCTTCTTGAGGATCAATAAAATCTGACAGCTTCCTAATTAGTCCAACATTGAGGCAGCGCACATATGTTGATGGCGTTATGGGTTTGTTCATCTTCTATTCCTATAATATAAAAAATTCTCATCAAAATTTTACAGTAGTTTTAGTGATGACATCTGTAAGTTTATATATCATTCTTCGCTATAACATAGGAAATGTTGGCAACTGTTTACCCCATAACAAAAGAACAGTCCAAAGTCAACCACAGTTGACTCTTGAACAAAATGGGTTTGAACTGTGCAGGTCCACTTATATGCAGATTTTTTTCAATAAACACAATAAATCTATTTTCTCTCACTTATGATTTTCTTAACATTTTTTTCTAGCTTTTTGTTACAAGAATACACTATATAATACAAAAATGTAACATACAAAATATGTATTAATCAACTGTTTATGTTATCAGTAAGGCTTCCAATCAATGGTAGGTTATTAGTAGTTAAATTAGGAGGAAGTCAAAAATTACATGTGGATTTTTCAACTGCATGGGTGTCAGTGTCCCTAACTCCTGCATTGCTCAAGAGGCAACTGTAGTTGATAGCCTAAGAAAAAATTAAAATTGTGGTTACTTATCTATCCTCTCGGCTTGCTTTCTTTCTCCACCCAGAATAGGAATAAGAAAAATAAAGGATTTTTTTCTTACACTGACAATTTCTGAGTGAAATTTATACAAAGAAGCAAAAGTTTACTTTTTCAGAAAAATTCCTGTGAACATATTCAGGAATAAACTCTATTAATAAAAGAGGTTTATTTTCAATTTAAAATATTTTTATTAGTTATATTTATTTCTGTTAAATACTTATGCAACACTCTTTGGTGTAAGTAAAAAATAAATATATCCTGAAATAATTTGGGTTGCATTAAAAGACATGGTCTATCCACCAACTTTTCACATAATATGCTCTTCCTTGACTCCACTTGTTTTGAGTTCTATGGACCTACCTGATCACAATTCATTTTCTAAGTCAAACACCATGGTTCACCAACTTAATTAGTCTATAGATAGAACCTTTATTTCCTCTGTCCCCTTTTTCTTCTGCCACTCCCTCCTAGAAAGCTGCAGCTAAGGATAAATCTCACAATTTTACTTGTACACCAGCACTGCTGAATATAGCTGTAGAGAACTAGATAGCAACTGAGCAGGTTGGTGTGAATAAATTTTTATGCAAGCCCCTTTTCCATTGGGCCTTCAACAATGCTATTGATCCTTTTCCTTGTATTCACTCATTGTCCTTAGAGACTATTTCACACCTTTACCTCTCTACATGTGGTGCTATTTGACCTCCATGTCCCTCATTCTCAGCAGATGGTTACCTTTCCTTCTAATAAATCAAGACAAATAGATCCAGGTGTTGTTCTACCAATTATTCTCTTGCTCCCCGATGTATTTTTAAAGGCAATATAATTAATTTTTGGAGTAAAGAATATATTCATATGGTACAAAACCCACAAGCTATAAAATAAGAAACAAAAATTCTCCCTATATCCTAGGCCTTTATGTATTAGCATTCTCTTCTCTTTGGCCTTCTTTCACCACCACATCTAAGTAGGTCTATGTGCCCGCAACCTAATTATCTTTCATTATTGTGCAATTTGTTTGTAATCATGTATTTATTTGTTTAGTTGTTTACTGTCTCCCCTATTAGACTCTAAGTTCCATGAGTTCAAGGACTGTGATAATTTTATTCACAAATATGTAACTAGAGACTAGCACATTGTAGATATTGGTGTTAAGTGTTAAGAATGAATTTCCTGTCCAGTATCATGCTAGGTGATTTATATATTTCACTTAATCCTCTTAGTGACTAAGGTAGTTTTATCATTTCTATTTCATAAAGGTAGTAAGTTCAAGCTAGGACTTGAACCAGTATCTGACTCCAAAATTCATGCCGTATGTCCCTACTTATTATATGTCCCCACCTAACTCAATGCATTGTTCATTTCATTCTCTTTCCTAGAAACACCAATCATTTCCTTTCACTCATCCATACATTCACAAAATAATTTATGTCAGTCTTTGTACTAAGTCATAAGAGATACAGAGAAGAGAAAATCTTTGTTTTCAAGTCGTTTAGTCTAGCAAGGGATACAACAATTATGAGTGATACATGCTGCAAGAGGTATGTGCAGTGTTAATGGGGCCCAGAGAAGGAGCATCAAACTGAGCCAGTTGGAGAGATGCCTCAAAGCAGATTTGGGTGGGGTGGTGGTTAGAAGGATGAATGAAAAGGAATGAGGATGGCTTCCCCCCTCTCCCCAACCCAAAAACATTCCAGGCAGCACAGAAGAGCATGAGTTAGACTCAGGCAAGGAGTTTGCTATGGCTGGATCATAGGATGCATGCCATCAAGTACAATAAGAAGAGATGAGGTTAGAGAGGCAAGCAGGGCCAAATCATCATGATCCTTTTACACTATGACAAGGAATTTAAACTTTATACTAAATGTTATAGAGGAGCCATTTCAAGATTTTAAGAAAAGGCATTATGTAATCTTACTTGGTTAAGTGGATTCCTTTAGATAAAAAAAATTAATAGGAGACCAGTTTGAAAACTTTGCAATAATCTAGGAGAAATGAAAACCTGAGAAAAGGATATGATCAAGGAATGGAGAAAAAAATGATTAAAAGATTTAAGAGATAAAACAAAAATAATTTAATAATTTAAAGATCAGATATTAGAAAGAAGAGTGAGGGATACAAAGAAGCTAATTCCTGGCTTTTTTTGGCTTGGGCAATTAGATAGATGATACAGGAAATAAGTTCTGGTCATGTTTAACATGAAATACCGACCTTCATCTCCATCTAGGGGAGATGGCACTGAGTAGCTAGACATAAGGACTAGAGCTTAAGACAGAGATTTAGGCAAAGAATGCTTACTATATGAACATTTTCATATATTCATATATGAATGGTTGGTTGAAGCAACAAGTAAATATAAAATTGCCTATTTGAATGTATAGAATGTGAAGAAATGAAGAGAAAGAAGAAGCTTTAAAAAGTATTGTTAAGTCATGCAGGTAAGGAAAAAACTAGGAGAGTAGCAGATTTCTACAATGGGTGCTAGGTTAATATGAAAGACCACAAAAAAGGTCTTTTACTGTTAGTATTTGGAACCCAAAGACCACTGGGTGACTTTAAGAATAGTTGTAGTGGGGCAGTGAGTAAATAGTAGAAATGCATTCTCCAAGAAATGTGACTATGAAGGGAATAAGAATAAGGAGAGAAACAGCAGTTCTCAAACGTGGTCTCAAGATCTTTTACACTCTTAAATATTATTGTGGACTCCAATAACTTTTATTTATGTTGGTTATATCTACCAATTTTACCATATTAGAAATGGACACTGAGAAGTTTTAAAAAAGAATAAATATACTACATGTTAACATACATATTTAATAAAAATTTTTAAAAATTGCTTCAAAATAGAAGAGTGAAATTGTTTTACAGTTTTGTAAATTTCTTTAGTGTTTAACTTAATAGACTCATATCTATTTGCCACTCTATTTAATCTGCTGCAATATATTGTTTTGGTTGACACATATGAAAAAAATCCAGCTCCACACAGACGTACAGTTGAAAAGGAAGTATTTTAATAACCTTTTTTTTCACAAATTAGTATCTATTTATCTTTGATACTTTACTAGAACTTGACAAGAGATAATTTCCTAAAATTTAGTTACAACTGTAATCTGAAAGCATATAATGAACTTTGTCATTTACAATCCATTGTACTTTGAATCTTTTACTCAGAATGTGATTTTGATCTTATGAAACTCCTGAAAGAGACTTGGGGACCCCAACCACACCCTGAGAACTGCTGGTTTAATATTTGTTTTAAGACTTAAGCTTGGATGAAATACAAAAGATATAGTGAATACAGTATAAGTTAAGGGGTCAGACTTAAATAGAATGAAACCTCTTCTTCTGAATCTAGAAAGAGGGATGCATAGGTTTGGAACACAGATATATTTGAAGGGAGAGGAAGAATTCCCACACAATGTTATTTTTTTCTGTGTATCAGGGGGTAAGATCATCTAAGGCAAAGTAAAAGAACTGCCCAAGTACTTTGAGGGCCACCTGGTAAATGCCTACTGTTTCTTCAAACCCAATGCAAAAGTCACTACTGGCTTTCCTTATTAGTCATTTCATTTGTTTCAAACTGTCACCTGGTTATTCTTCTATTATAATAATTACCGTATGTTATTGTTTATGTGTCTGCCTTCTCTCCTATACACTTTGCTTTCCTGGGCAGAGATCCAAGCAAATTCAGCTTTAAGCTACTTGAAATATTTGTGTTAAATGAGAGAAAGACTGATTTTTTAAAATTAAGAAATCCTATATGCCTCTAGATTTTGCAGTTGCTCTATTTACATTATTTTTTTGTTATTTACTCAGATTTCTCTCCACTATAAGAAGTACAATGTGATTGACAAAACTAGCTAAGGTAGAACTGCTTAGTAATCCTAAAAGCTATAACTAAAATATAGGAAATTAAGAATAAAAACAGTTTATCTTAAAACCAGCAATAAATGTGGTAGCTCTCCAGCACCCAAATTTCTAGCAGAGGTGATGGCATGGTGATGCCAGAAAAAGGAAGACTTTCTAACAACTCCTCCACACATATATGCCTGACAGTTCTAAATCTCAAAATTTAAAAACTTCCTTTAAATATACATTCATATATCACTCCTAACACATATCTGGAAGAACATGCACCAAAATGTTAACTGTGGTTCTCTTTTTAAAAAATATATCTTATTTATTATGATATTACAGTTGTCCCATTTTTTCCTCCTTTGCCCCCCTCCACCCAGTACCCCGCTTCCCATCAGCAATCCACCCCCTTAGTTCATGTCCGTGGATCGCACATGTAAGTTCTTTTGCTTCTCCATTTCCCACACTATTCTTGACATCTCCCTATTTTGTCTCTACCAATTATTCATTTTAGTCCCTGCACCTTTTCCTCTAGTCTCTCCCTTCCCCCTCCCAGCTGATAACCCTCCAAATGATCTCCATATCTATGATTCTATTCCTGTTCTGGTTGTGTGCTTCGTGGGTTTTTTTTTTTTTTAATTCAGTTGTTGATAGTTGTGAATTTGTTGCCATTTTAATGTTCATAGTTTTGATCTTCTTTTTCTTAAATAACTCCCTTTAACATTTCATGTAATAATGGCTTGGTGATGATGAACTCCTTTAGCTTTACCTTGCCTGGGATGCACTTTATCTTCCCTTCCATTCTAAATGATAGCTTTGCTGGATGAGTAATCATGGTTGTAAGTTCTTGCTTTTCATCACTTTGAATACTTCTTTCCAGTCCCTTCTTGCCTGCAGTTCTTTTGAGAAAGCAACTAATATAATCCTATGGAAACTCCTTTGTAGGTAACTCTCTGCTTTTCTCTTGTTGCTTTTAATATCCTCTCTTTATCTTTAACCTTTGGCATTTTAATTATGATGTATCTTGGTGTGGTCCTCTTTGGGTCCAACTTGTTTGAGACTCTCTACTTCCTGGACTAGTGTCTATTTCCTTTGCCCAATTAAGGAAGTTTTCTTCCATTATTTTTTCAGATAAGTTTTCAATTTCTTGCTTTTTATCTTCTCCTTCTGGCATCCCTATGATTTGGGTGTTGGTAGGTTTGGAGATGTCCCATGACGGTCCTTATACTATCCTCATTTTTCAAAAATTGATTTTTATACTTGCTGTTCTGACTGAAGCCATATTTCTTCCTTATGTTCCAAATTGTTGATCTGAATCCCAGTTTCCTCCCCTCCACTGATGGCTCCCTGTAGATTTTTCTTTATTTCATTTAGTGTAATCTTCATTTCTTCCTCTATGTTGTTGCCTACTCAATGAGTTCTTTGAGCATCCTGAGCACCAGTGTTTCGAACTCTGCATCTGATCGGTTAGCTATCTCTGTTTAGTTCTTTTTCTGGGGTTTTGTTCTGTTGTTTCATTTGGGCTGCACTTCTTTGTGTCGTCAATTTGGCAGCCTCCCTGTGTTTGTTTCTATGTATTAGTTAGAACTGCTTTACCTCCCTGTCTTAGTAGTGTGGCCTATTGTAGAAAAGCCACCTGTAAATAGTGTGGGGTGGAGCCTTAGGTGACAGCCATGGCAGGGCAATCTGCTTCACCACTTGTGGTTCTGTGTTGGGGGAAGGCTCCCAGAGGGGACAATGCCCCTGCCGGGATTCTGGAGGTTTGCCCAGTACTCTTCCGCCACTTCCCATATGTGACTAGTGCCCTTCTAGCTGTTGCCCTGGTGGTAAATCTCAGAGTGGGTGAGTTTGCATGTTTTAAGACCCTGCAGGCCCTTTAACACAGTCCCCTGAAAATCCAGCAGTTTCTTTGAGGCCTCACTCCCACTGGTTTTTACAGCCAGAAGTAATGGGGGTTTATCTTCCTGGTGCTGGAATCCTGGGCTGTATAGTCTGGCCTACGGCCAGGATGCTCACTCCCAGGGTATCCCTCCCAATTTTTATCCACCATAGCGAACAGGGGACCGACTGCTTACCTGCCACCTCTGGTGCCACTAGGTCTCTGCCCTGCCCCCCATCTCTGCTTCTCTACTCATCCAACCCCTGTAGATGAATGTGGCTTCTTTAATCCTTGGTTGTCAGACTTATATAAAGTTTGATTTTCTGACAGTGCTGGGGGTTATTTGTTTTGAGATCTAGTTGTAATTCTATGGTTGCCAGAGGAGATGAACTATGTCTACTTACACCTCCATCTTGAACAGAAGTCCACTTTTTTTTCCTAAATCCAATTCTTGAGAAAGTTACACCATCATAACTCTAAAATTCTCAGTACCTTTCCCATGTTCAGCTGACTTATTTAAGGTGCTAAACTATAGAGCTAAAATCAGTGTGTTCCACTCCATTCTCATCATGCACAGTCACCAAGTTTTTAGGCAACTTTGTGCAACAAGAAACAAACAAACAAAAATCAGAAGCAATGAAAAAAGTGCAGAGAGTACACACTCAGATGATGTCTCACATTCTCACAACAGAGGTACAACTTGTAACGAGGTGGTTCAATGACAAGAATGGCAAGATTCTAGCAGTCCTTAGGTGCTCCCATGGCCAGAGGACAGGGTCAAGGTCTGCCTCGTGTCTCATACTCCACGCTCCACATCCCTCCAGCAGCCCTGGAAGCCTGGGCCTCACAGTGCAGGGTTCCCCCTCACCATCACTGCACTTATACTGGCAGAGCCCATCCTCACCTCCCAGGAGGCCCAAGGAGGCGTTCAGGTAGGTGTCATTTTGTGAACTCCAGTCTGGGGGCTGGGCCTGTTCCTGGCACCTGATCGCAAAGGTGAGGGTGAGGAGAGCAAGCTCAGGCCAGGGGAGCATGGCCATCCATGCAACGCCCAGCCATGTTGGGACACACCAGTCCCCCCAAGCAGTGTGCTGTGTGCTCCCACAGAGCCGCCAGGGTGCTCCAGGCAGCAGCATGCGCCCCGCACTCCACAGCCAGGGACGGTCCCAAGCCCACCTGTGGTTATCTTTTGAAGGTGATTTTTATTTTCATTTGCTTTTTTGCATCACCAATAGTGAAAATAAATGATCTGTGCAGAAGAAATGCTTGAAAGTATCACCTCTTTCAAAGTGTTCTAGATGTTACTTTAGTGCACTTGTGATTAATGGAAGTGGAATGGTACATATTGCTTATAAATAATAAATACCTCCACGAGTATTTTCTCAAACCATTAATTCTCATGGTAAAGAAATACCATTCACATTTTCAAACAAGACAAGAATATATAAGGTAAAGTGATAATTGAGAAATATACTAAAATCAGTGTCAGCTTGTGGAACCCAATGCCTTCCTACTCATATGTACATTCTCAAAGTACTGTGGCCAAAATAGGATTAAAAAATTGTTGTCAAATGAATTAATAAAGTTTTAAGTCTGGTCTGAGCAGAGGAAGAGCATATAGGGGGTGGAGGGAAGATGGACTTCGAGGTTACATGGGCGTAAGTTTCAATACAGCTTTTCCACAAACCAACAGTGACTAGGGCAATACCTCAATTCATTGGACCTTGGTTTCTTCATCTGAAAAAGAGATGGTAGTTCCTAAGATTTGCATAAGATTTAAAATCAACGAATGAGAAGGACCTAATCCTGTCAATAACAGGTGATCAAAAAAATATAATGATGATTATTTTATGGCAGAGGTTATGCTTGTATTGCATATTTAAAAAACAAATGTGCAGAGTTGTATTTAAGCTCAATTTTCAGAATAATGGTGAGGGTCTACTGAAAGAGCGGAAATAAGAGGTCTGAGACTTTTCAGATGGTGTCAGCCTTATTTTACTAAGCGTAGCTACCAGGCTGTTAGTACACTTTTCGTATTTGATAATGCACGTATCTGCTCCTTACAACCCCTCTCGACATTCTAACTTCCTGGAAGCCTGCAAGCCGGAGCAACAAGCTAATTAGAATCTTGTGAAGGCGCAATACTTTCCACGTCACGAGCATCTCTGCCGGGTGCTGACCTTACTTCCTGGTTCTCAAGCTGAGAGATTTCGTAAATGGGTTCTCGGAACACACCGCCAGGGGTCTGAGGGGCTGGGAGCGAGGTCCAACTCATCCATGGAATGGCTCAGGGACGCCTTTCTCTGCCCCAAGTTTCCTCCTCAGGTCCGCCTCACTTTTTGATCCCTAGGATGTGAACCCGTGTTCATTTTAGAGCAAGCTCTGCCCACGCAATCTACTTCCTCTCTAACTTTTCTCACTTGGAATATAAGACTGCGACTGTCCTTCCGAAATGGTCCCTCAACAACCCTTGGGCAGAGGGACAGAGGCCGGGGGGCGGACCTCCGACAGCCTACAGGGAAGGCGGCGCACGCATTTAGAATCTCTTACCTGCCCAAACGCTAGAACCGGTGGCGGGGCCGGACACTGCCCCGCTGAGCCAGCGGCTGAGGAACCCGTGCATTGGGAAGGGGCGGGGCGTGGCGGGGAGGAGCGAAGCGGCCCGAACTCTTCAGGCTCCACCCCGGGCTCGGCGGCGTCCCGCCCTCCCCTTGCTTTTAGAACCTAGAATCTCCACACTCAGAGATTCCAGCTCTCGCGTGAGGCGCTACTTTAAATAGGAGTCTGTCCCTTTAAAACCCTCCCGTCGGCGGCTAAATTTTTTGTCTTCCGGCATGCGCACGGCGTCGTGCGGGGGATGCCGTCATCTGGATGTGAGGTATACCGGGTCGAGCTTCTTGCGCGATCCCGGGCTCGTGTATGGGGCGATGCGGTGATTGGCATTGGGGCCCCAACTCTACTGGCAAGAGGAGGCGATGTGAGCTAATATCGAGCCTTAGGACAGGCGGATGTAGAGGAGGTAGAAGAAAGTGGAGATGCTGGCGGTATCTGGGGGTACTTTTGGACGCCCCAGAAGGCTACGCCGCCGCAGACTTTAGTTCTGTGGCCTGGTGAAGGAAGCAGAAAGTAGGAGTGAGCTCGGCGGATATTTGATGATTAGTGAAGTAAGAGCATGAGAGAAAAGGCGCCACCTTCCTCCATTTGTAACATCTTGCCAGAATCTGCCCTCAACTGGCAAGTCCCCTATCTTGTGTCAAACTACCCTCCACTCGCCCCCTACCCTGCACCCTCGTCAGCGTATCAGTTGCTGAGGAACACTGCACGTGGACTCCGCGTCTTTCCTCCAGCTTGGATCCACTGTTTTACTAAGATGCTTTGCTGTAATTCCCTCTTTGGAACATTCTCCCTAGCTTAGAATGCCATATCTTTTTCTTTTTACTGGGCAAAGTATAATATTTTTAAGGCTAGTTCTACAACTGTGCTCTTGATTACATTGCTTTTCAACTCTAACTCCATCATTTTATCTTGCTCAGTGCCATCAGTCATCTTACTGAAACATATTTTTGGATTGTGCCATTTTCCTCCAGTGGCCGTCCATTTGACCAGTCGATGGATTTTTAAATCCTTGACAGGGCATTAAGTGTCTGACATAGTTTGTCATTAATCCAGCTGCATTTTCCAGAACTGTACTAAAAAACGTTTCCCCCTACTGCGCGGTCTCTGGGCTGTTCAGTTTTCCCTAACACATTGCATATTTTGTTTGTACATTACTTATGATATGACTTGGCCTCATTTCTATTGCTGAACAATTTTGAAGACGTAAATGGCCACTTCTTGCATTATGCCTTTACTGATTTATCACAGGCAGAAGTGATCTTTCTTCCTCTTCACTCTTACAGCTCTTATTTTGTACTAGTTTCATTTATTCAGCAATCACTATTGATTTTTGCCTACTATGTGCTTGACAGTGGTCTAAATATGAAATAATGAGTGAATAAGGCAGACAAGTTTCTTGCTGTCATGGACTGAAAGGAAGAGAATTAAATAAGTTCTGCAAACATTTTTTTGGGGGGAGTGGGTTAACCACAACTTTTCTTTCTGGTAACTAACTGCCTTTTTATTTCTTTTGTAGGCATTGTTATTTAAGAATGGAAGAGGATACAGATTTTAGAATAAGGTTTAGTTCTTTGTGTTTCATTACTGATCATGTTGGATTTCATGGCACTATAAAAAGTTCACCAAGTGACTTTGTTGTTATTGAGATTGATGAACAGGGACAGTTAGTTAATAAGACTATTGATGAACCTATTTACAAGAGTAGTAAAGTACTACCTGAGCCAAATAATTTTGCCAAAAAAACAAAACTAGGTATTCAAAATTTATCCTTTGAAGAGGGAATCAACGAGGAAGTCAGTACTTTGGTCCAGTACTCCGATGTTGGCCAAAATCATCAGTCTGGTTCAGAAAAGGAAGATAGTATCAATGATGGAACTTCCAAAGAAGAAAGAGAAAAAATTCATGCATTAGGCTCTTTGTTAGATAAGAAAACGAATGAATTACTGAATCAGTTTGCCTATGATATAAAAGAGAAATGGAATTCTAAAAGTGAGCTAAGTGGACCGTCTCTTGAATTCTCACTAGGCAGAATCCTTGACAAAAACCAGAGGGCTATTTTGCATAGTGCTATTCGGCAGAAATTTCCTTTTTTAATAACTGTAGGAAGAAATACTGAAATTGTTGTAAAACCAAATCTTGAATATAAAGAACTCTGTCACTTGGTATCTGAAGAAGAAGCATTTGACTTTTTTAAATACTTGGATGCAAAGAAAGAAAATTCCAAATTTACCTTTAAACCTGATACAAACAAAGACCACAGAAAAGCTGTTCACCATTTTGTCAACAAAAGGTTTGGAAATCTTGTGGAAACCAAATCTTTTCCTGAAGCTAATTGCAATGCTGGTAATCCAAATATAGTAATAACGGTAAGATTTCGTGAAAAAGCACACAAGCACAGGAAAAGGTCTGTTGAATGCCAGGAAAAAAAAGTTGTGTATACAGGTAATTTAATAAATCATTACCATTTTCTTTGATAAACTTAGTTAAAATTGTGACTCAGTGACAAATCAGTGAAAGCTGAATAATTCAAATGAATAGACTTGTTCAGAGGGATAGTGGAATGTATGGGTCTGTTTTTAAACAGAGGGTAAAGACTTTGAAATTACACTAATTGTAAAAATTAACCTTATTGGTGACAGTGTGGTTAATACAGACGTTTATAGTTAACAGTTACAAATATATAAGGCTGAAGTAGTTATTTTGTATTTATATTTTTTGTAGGTAAATCTCGATACCATATTTTGAAAGTTAAGTAAAATGAACTATTTAGAGATTAAGCAGAATATGTTTGCTATGTTTGGGAAGTGAAGAGAATGCCTTGTATTCTAAAACAGTTGAACCTCACTACCCTTGAAAACTTATAGGGGGCTCCTTCCTTTGGCTCTGTCAGTCTTTTAGAGAAGTTCTCAAGTGTTAACATGCATTATAATTACCAAAAGAACTTAAAACAGATTTCTGAGGCCTATTCTCAGAGTTTGGACCTGGGAGCTGTGGATTTTATTTTACGTTATAATTTTAGTTCATAAAAAGACTTATGAACTTTTTAATATCTTTTAAAACTTAGTTGCTGCAAATGTAAAAAAATGGAGAGAAAAATACCATGGGCAACTTACTTAACTCGTAACTTTTGATTGTACTTTAAAAATGAGGTAATAATAAAGTGTAATTCACAATGATATTCTAAGGATTAGGGGAAATAATTAATGAAAATGTTTGGTACATAATAGTTACTCAAATGTTGGCTAATTTTCTCCTGGAAATTTCTGTCTGGTTCTGTGACTTGTCTTTTCTGTGAAGGATGCTAGTATAGGACTTGACACATGATGGCATGCAATAAATGTTAACAGCTAAATCTTTAGAAGGAAAAACAAAACTAGCTTTACATGTAGGGGGAAGAATTCCTTATAGTGATTTAAGCATCTATATCTAGATTTTACACTACTTAATATTCTAATAAAAGTATTAATTTGAGTTAATGAACCAAAAAATTGTGGAAATTTTTACTTTGAGTTTACATTGGTTTTTATAAAAACTATGAATAACTGGGGGAGTATGTTAAAGGGAGGAGTTGATGGTTCACCAGAGGATAGTTTGAAGATACCAATATACCTACAAATCTAAGAAAAAAAAAAAGACATAAACTTGGCCTATCCCAAATTTTGCTTAGACCAACTCTTTGTAATAACAGAAATAGATCATAATAGAAAAATTCCTTAATAAGTAGACCCGTCAAAAAATGGAACACTTTTTAAAAACTGTTTAAAATATATATAACATATAATTTATATGAATAATATCTGTAACATAATTTATATATATAATTTATACATACATTTAAGTACATTCAGTGGCATCAAGTACTTTGTTGTACAACCATCACCACCATCTAACTTCAGAACTTTTTCATCTTTTCAAATTGTAATTTTGTTCCCATTATGTAATAACTCTCTATTGCCGTCTACCCCCAGCCACTGGCAACCACCATTCTGCTTCTATCTATATAAATTTGAATACTTCAGGTATTTCCTGTAAGTGGAATCATATAATATTTGTTCTATTAGGATTGGTTTATTTCACTTAAAATCGTCAAAGTTCATCCATGTTATACATGTGTTGAATTTTTTTCTTCTTAAGGTTGAGTAATCTTCCATTGTAAATGTCCCACTTTGTTTATCCATTCATCTGCCTATGGACATGGGTTGCTTCATCTTTTAGATGCTATGAACATGGCTGTAAAAATACATATTCAAGTTCATGTGTTCAATTTTGTTTTGTTTTGGTGAATACCCAGAAATGGAATTGCTGAATCAAATAGCAATTCTATGTTTAATTTTTGGAGCCAGTGTCATACCATTTTCATAGAACACGTTTTTGAAGAAGGAATTTTATGAAAGACTTAAGCATCCAATGCAACTTTTATTTTAGATATTGTATTTCTCAGCTCTGGAAGTTTCTTTTGTTTTTCCCTTAGGTCTTCAATTTCTTATATGTTCATATTTTCCTATAATCTTTGGGCCTATAATAGGTCTTTAAAAATATTTTTCTGCTAATTCCATCTCTGTCATTTCTGGGTATATTTTTATTGACTGACTTTTATTTGGGTATGGGTCATATTTTTGTGCTACTTTGCATGCCTAGTAATATTTTTTTGAGGTCAAACATTGTGAGTTCTTTGTTGAGTGTCCAGATTTTGTTGTCTTCTTTTACAGAGTGTTGAACTTTGCGTTAGCAGATATGAAATAATTTGCAGCTACACTTGAGGATTCATTTGAGTTTTATTAAAGGAGATATAGAGTAAACTTTACTCTAAGCCTGACATATAGCTCTATTATTATAGCATAATTCATCTGTGGCTTATACTGAATGCCCTTGCATTTTAATTAGATCTCTCCTCTCTCTTCTCTGTCTCGGCTCTAGCCTTGTGTAATCTCTGGCAGGTTACATATATGTAGTATTTCATTGTCCAACTTGGTGGAGTTTGGTAGCCAGCACCCACATGGCCCCCAATGTTCCTTAACAATTGATATTCATGCTCTTCTGTATTCCCCACCTATACTGAATCTGGGTCAGCCTGTTTGGCCAACAGAATATTGCAGAAATGACAGTGAGTAACTTTTGAGGTTAGATTATAGAAGGCATTTCATTTATTGGTACTCACTCTTGTACCATAGAAACAAACAATCACACCTTATAAATGCTGAAGAGTCCTTCTGGAGAGAAACTGAAGCCTCCCACCAGTAGTCAACACAAATTTACCACTGACATGAGTGAAGCACCTTGGAGGCAGAACCTCCAGATTCAGCTGATGTTTCATTTCAACTTTACAAGTGGACTTCAAGCCAGGACTATCTAACTCCTGAATTCTCCACTCACCAGAAACTGTGCAGAATAGTATATTTAATCTGCCTTGGGTGCCGTAACAAAATACCATAGATTGGGTGACATAAGTAACAGAAATTTATTTTCTCACAGTTCTGGAGACTGAAAGTCCAAAATCAAGATGTCAGTAGGATTGAAGCGCCATCCCTTTGGGCTGCAGATAACTACCTTCTCTCTGTGAGCTCACATGACGTTTTTGTGTGTGTATGCAGGGTGAGAGATTAGGAGAGAGAACTCTTTGGTGTCTTATAAGGACACTAATAGCATCAAATGAGGGCCCCACTCTTATGATCTTGTTTAACCTAAATTGACTTCCATAGAGACCCCATCTCTAAATACAGGAGGATTAGCATTTTGTCATGAATTTGGGATGGGGGGTACAGATATTTAGTCCATAACAGATAGTAAATGATATTTGTTATTTTATGTCATAAGATTTGGGTTGATTTCTCATGTAGCACTAAATTAATAGATATTTGAGTACCAGAAATGGGTTGCTTCTGTAACAAAAGCATAACACCTGCGGTAGCAGTGCCTTTGGGACTTGACCATCAGAAGTTTGAAGATACTTAAGGGAAGCTGTCAGTGAGAGTTTAACGAAAGGTAAGGAAAATATTGTTAGAGCCTGGAAGAAAGGGATCCTTGTTATGTACTGGCAGAAAGTTTAGCAACACTGTTGTCTGCAATAAAATGGAAAGTAGAAAATGTATCTAAAGAAGGGGTACTCTAACTAAAGAGATTTACAGGCAAAGTCAAAGGTGCCACCTGGCTTCTTTTTACTCCTTATAGTAAAATTCTAAAGGAAAAACTGTTGGATATAAAGGAGCCGGAAATGCTGGGTTCAAAAATAACTTAAAGTTAGTTCCCAGTCTCTCCAGATGGCGCATGATGTTTACATTAAAAAAAAAAATAAATAAATAAATCTTCCAGGCAAAGAAAAATAATCATGGCAAGTCAGGACATGTTCTAACAAGGAAATCCTAGAATGTTATTGTAAAATCCTTTGTTAAAATTTTGGAAAGTTGTATAGCAGCATCTCAGAGAATGGTTCAGACAGGCAAATGTCCCTTTAGGGACTTTAAGGGCCTGTCTCATGGATTCGAGTGTTAAACAGTAATTCTTTTAGAAATTTAGGGACATTTTCCCTCAGCAGCTTCGGCAGAAGCCCTAAGTAGAAAAGATCTGATCTTGACAATGTGAGTATAGTTTGTTCTAGTAGAGTGAACCCCGAGAAAACCCACCCAGTTTTGAAACGGGTCAAAGACAGTACAAACTAAAGAGAAGCCTTTGGACTACCGAATGTTTAACGGCAGGAATTAGGCTGAAAAAACTACTCTACTATAAACAGGCTATCTTTTATGGAAAAAGAAGGTTCATTCGGAGGGAGGGCACTAAGACCCGAAGGTGGACCCTTGAGCTAGAGCAATCATTCCCCTGTATTTGTAGGACCGAATTCTAATAAAGGGATAATCAACATATTCCTGGCTGGATTCAAAATTGCTGCATACCAGTAACTTCCAGGTATTTTCAATTTCCCCCCAGTTTGACAGAGTCTATAGTGCTTGTTCTATGTATGTTTCAACATTGTAACGTATGTTAAAATCAGATTTGTCTCATGACACAATTCTTCATAGTCTTCATATTAGAAGTTTTATTTGGGAATTCTAATATAAGATGTACTCAAGGAGCCTTATTTACATCTGGACCTAATTTAAATGAAAAAAAATGCTAGGATTTGCATTGATGTTTAAATGCAATGAGTCTTTGGAGGCTTAGGAAAGAATGAGTATATTTCGGGTGGGGGAGGGACATAAAGTATTAGGTTGGCCAAAAGTCTGTTTAGTTTTTCCCATAAAATAAATGATACATTTTTCATTTTCATCAATAACTTTATTGCTTTGGATATTTTGAGTACGTTGGCTATCTCCTGTTACTGGCTTCTAGTGGTTAGAGGCCAGGAGTGCTGATAAACATCTTCCAATGCATAAAGAGAGCCCTACAGCAAAGAATTATTTGACCAAAATGTCAGTAGCACTGAGAAACTTCACAAACCACTTTTAAAACATTTGATCAGTCACAGCACCTTCTCCATACACTGCACAGATTTTTCTTTTGCACTTCAGTTGTGTTTTTCCCTTTCTTGAAATAATAAAGCATATGCCAAAATGTGTATTTTTCTCATCTTCAATATTAAAATTGCTGCACAAAAATTTACCAACTTTGATAAGTTTTAAAAAATATGCTGATAAGAGAGCTGTCAAAATACAATCTAACAAAATTGTTTTGAATGAAGTTAAAGACAAGTGCTACTAGAGCCATCTTGCGGAAAAAAAATTAAATGAAATTTTTGGCCAACCCAATATTAGAGCCAGAAGATGGATTGTGGTTCTCAGTATCCAAGGATACTCTTCAGTGATGTTCTGGTGTTCAACCCAGAGTGACCCGGGAGACCAACAGAGTATGACAGAAGTGACTACATGTGACTGCTAAGGCTGGATCATAAAAAGTATTGCACTTTTTGCCTGTTTCTTGTATGGTTCATTCTGGGGTAAAGCAGGCACTATACTGTGGGAATACTCACACAGCTCTTTGGAGAGGAACTGAAGCCTCATACCAAAGGCTAGCATCAACTTGTCAGCCATGTGAGTCCTCTTGGAAATGGATTTTCCAGGTCCTGTCAGGTGTTTGAATATCCATAGCCCCCAGCCACATATAACTGCAGCCTCATGAGAGAGCCCAGGGCTAGAATCATAAACAAAATGCTCTTGAATTCCTGTCCCACAGAAACTATGAGAAATAAATGAACATTGTAAGCCATTAAGGTTAAGGCTGACTTGTTACACAGCATTAGGTAAATAACAGCATTTTGTCCTAGGAGTGTGTAGGTTACTAATCAACCACAAACTCAAGGGGTCACCTAGGGGGATTTCAGGAACTCTTTCTCCGCACGGCTTTCTCTTAGCTGATCTTCCCTATGAACTCCAGGCCGCTCAACCTTCCTGAACTTAATCCTCTACCTTCTTAGTTCAGCAAGACCACTCTGCTCTAGCTAGATTCTGTCTCCCCATGCTATGGTCCAGAAAGTACCTCTAGAGAAAAAACCATGGTATTTTAGGTCTCACCTTGTCAGTTTTCCTTTTCTTTTAGATCACAGTTCTGCGTTGCCTGTTCTACAGTGTCTAAAATCAGGTGTTTTATATGTTTTGTCTGGCTTTCTGGTTGTGGATGGTGGTGGTGGGCGGGGGTGGGGGGTCGTTTGGTACCAATTATTGCAACATAGCTAGAAGTGGAAATCTCTAAGATAGAATTTTTATTTTTATTTTTTTAATTTTATTTATTTTATTTTTAGAGAGAGGAAGGGAGGGAGAAAGAGAGGCAGAGAAACACCAATGTGTGGTTGCCTCTGTAGCACCCCCTGCTGGGGACTGGCCCACAAGCCAGGTATGTGCCCTGACTGGGGATCAAACTGGCAACACCTTGGTTCACTGGCCGGCACTCACTCCACTGAGCCACACCAGCCAGGGCCTAAAATTGACTTTTTAACTTAACATAGTTGATTTTCTTTCTAAATACTTGTGTCATTCCAAATAATTAAGAAATTGTTATGAATCCTATAATATAAACTTATAATTTTAGTGACCTTTAAGTTTTCCTGTATGTTTCCATATTATTTACTAGTATAATGAGATTGCAATGTAAAAATAAAAGTTAAAGTCAATTAAACATTTTAATTGGAATTACTTATATCCCGTTCATTTAAACATTCCAAGTAACACAAAATACTAAAATTATGAATTTGATTTTCTTAAATATTTCTGTTCTAAATCTTCATGAATATAAAACGCTTATTCACTGAAGTTAATCAGCAACAAATTGATATAATCTCAAACAATTTGGAAGTGTCTTTTTATATGGCTGAGCTTTCTGAATCTGGGTATGTCAGGGTTGGGTTTGACATATTGAGCCCTAGTTATCAAACATGAACTTTAAAACTTTAAGGACTGGCTTCCAGTCTTCTTCCTTTATAAATAGTACACTTTCTTGGTCTACTTTTCAAAGTTTGCAACTCCTACCTGAGCTGCTGTAATGCTTGATTGAATTTTGCATTTCTTTTAAGATATTTTAATGACTTCTGTCTAGCTCCACAGATTTTGTGTACTTGAGGGACTACTATATTTCTCCATGTTATTCCTAATTAGTTCTCAAACTTTTTGGTTCCAGGACCCCTAGAGTGTATAGCTCTTACAAATTATTGTGGACCCCAACCAGCTTTTGTTTATGGGGCTCTTATCTATTGATATCTGACCTATTAGCAATTAAAATAGACATTTTTAAAATATGAATTTTTAAGATAAATCTGTTACTATTAACATAACATTTTTAATGAAAAATGTCCATATTTTTCAACTAAAAATTAATGAGGACTGTGCAGTTTTATAGTTCTACAAATCTTTCTAATATCTGACATAAAAGAAGTCAGTTGGATTCCTTTTTTTTTTTGTATTCAATCTGTTGTAACATTTGCTTTGATTGAAGCAAATGAACAAAATTCAGCTTCACACAGGCAGGTAGTTGAAAAGGGAAAACATTATGGACTCCCTAAAATGACAGGTCACAGCAATCTTACAGATATTAAAATATTTGATATTTTGATCTTTATTGGTTTTGCTGTACTTCTATTCGTTCTTCAAGCCGCCACAGCAGCAGTGCTTCTTTATCAAATTCTTTTCCCCTTCCCAAGACTGAATGCTCCCAAAGCAGGGATCCTTTTTCTTTTATTGGCCCAGTGTATCTTTAGCCTAGCATGTCTTCCCAGATAATTTTATTTAAACTTTATAAATAATCTTATCACGGGAATAGCTGAAATATTTTGAGGCTATAATCTCTACATGTTAAATGTGGGCTTTTATTATATTTTAATTAGAGACAACTGATATAAAGAGACACCTTGAAATCAGAGGTTTATATTCGAATCCATTTGGTCAAGATAACCTGAAAGTGTAAAAACAAATTGTGACCTGGTACTTAGAATTAACTTGTTTGATTCTCTCCTTTCCTCTACTTCCTTTATCAGTTCTTTAGGAATAACAAAAGTCTTGGTACATTTAATTTATCACTGCTATAATTAATAGAAAGTTTGGAGAATTCTAGGAAGCTGCTCTGATAGTACAAAAACTAATGTCTCTAGTGGTAAAAATAATTTAGAAAATAGTGGACAGTGCTTGAATAGTTTTCAGAAATTATAGCTTGACACTTTAACAATTCTTAAACATTTAGGTAAAAGTATAGATCTATTTTTCTTGCAAAACCCAAAACATTGAAAATATACTACATTGCATTGCAGATTTTGTAAACTTTCATGTAAATAATATACACACTTTGCATATTTTTGAATCTTGTTATTTACATGTTTTTAGGGATTATTTATGTAGAGATATAAAGAAAATGTAGCTCTTCTCCATCCTCTTAAATGTTAAACGATAGTCCAAAGGATGGATATTACAAGCTTTGTCTAGCTATTGCATCTATAGGGTGGGGAAAAAGTAGATTTATAGTTGTGAATATGTGAAACAGTTTCAAATCGAACAAAATATGAATTACTCTGCAAGAAAATTTGAATTTCTTATGATTTGAGGGGAGAGAGCAGTACTTGAAGTATCTTATATGTAAATATGGTGAACTGAGGATTATGGTATTTTGTCACTCTGGCAGGTTATATATGTCAATGTTTTTTTTTTGTTTGTTTGTTTTTTAATGGGCTTGGCCCTCCTCCCCACCTCCACAATCTCACTCCGACCCTCTCATCTAATAGATGTTTTAAACATCTACCATGAAGCAAGCATGTTTTATTCACTGGCTTGCTGGCCATCCCAGTCTGTGGGGTGGACAACCTTAGAAGAAATAAATTGAAATACATGGTGTAAGTATAGTACACGGAGACATGCAAGATAAAGCAATCAACTCCTTGTGGAGTTCATTTACTCATTGATTCAACAAATATTTGAATACTTACTATGTGTGAGGCTGAGGATATAATAGTCAATAAAACAGACATGATCCCTGCTTTGAGAGCATTCAGCCTTGAGAACCTGAAAAGAAACCTTCAGAACCTGAGGGAGGAATGCTGGTGCTGTTGGATTGTGAAGAATGAATAGAAATACGGCAAATAAAATGGAAGGCACACATACTTTAGACAGAGGGACTCAAATGTACAAAAGTACAAAGCTGTGGAAGTTTGTAGTCCAAGGAATATGAGAAATTGTGTCGAGATTATAGGATATATGAATGGAAGTGGCACATGTGAGACTGAAAAGGGAGATTAGGCCTGCTCTGAATACCAGATTAAGGAATTTGGGTTTTTTCCTGTAAACTTTGAATGAGCCAATGAACATTTTAAAGATGACAGCTGAAATCCATGATTTTATTTTGATTCAAAAATAGTCCTTATTTAAATCGATGGTTTGCTTCATTATATTAATCTGTTAGCCTGCTAAGAACGTACTTGATATTTGGTAGCTGCTTCTTTTTTTAATTGGTAATTATTTTTGTTTCAGCCTTCACCTTGCGAAAAGAAAATCTAGAAATGTTTGAAGCGGTTGGTTTTTTAGCTGTCAAACTTGGTGTGATTCCTTCGGATTTTAGTTATGCAGGCCTTAAAGACAAGAAAGCCATCACCTATCAAACAATGGTCGTTAGAAAAGTGACTGCAGAGAGGTAATAAGACATTACTTTGTAAGAGGGAACTTTTCTCTTTCTTCCTTACCATGTAAGATAAGTAAATAGAAGATTCAACTGAAATAATACTAAGAGCATATTAACCTCACTAGTATTAATTTATTGAGTATAGGCTTACTATAGGCTTACCAAGCAGCAAATTCTGCATTGATAATGTAATTATCTTCTATGTAGTTATGTCTTAAACTTATATTGCAAATATAGGTAGTTATAGCTAGAAACTTTGAGAAGAGGTTGATTTTAAATGATCAAAATTTTTTCTAAACACCCTATTTTATACTCAAATATGCATTTATATTCAGGACAGTATTTTACAATTCTTTTTTTTAAATTACTGTAATACTTTTATATTTTTATTTTTGTGCTTCCTTATATTTAAAATAAATCTTTGTTAAAAAGAAAGTACTCAACTTTAGCCTCCGTTCAGCTTAGTCAGTTTTCAAATGTATTTTTTGTGATTGTAAAAAAAGAAATACATATTCATTGTAGATTTAGAAAATAGAAAAAAGTACCATTTAAAAAGGAAATTAAAAGTCACTTATAATTCTACTATTCAGAAAGATTCACAGTAACATTTTGATCTATTTCCTTCCATACTTTTTTCAGATACTATACTGCAAATGTACCTTATAAAAGACTTTTTTATATATGTGAAAATTATATTGTATGTGCATCTTATACTTTACATATAAAAGTAAAATAATTAAGGTTTAATGAAAATTTATGTCATGAAATATTTCAAAATTATTTCCATTATTTAGGCTAACTTGTTTAATATTCCCCTAGTTCTGGATATAGAATCCTGTTTCAATATTTCACTATAAATATTACTATGATTAATATTACTGTACTGAGTTCTGTGCCTTACAGATACTTTTCAAAAAGTTGAATCATTTGGCCAAATTGAGCCTAATTTGATGTAATGTTGACATTAATCTTTAGTTGTAAAATGTTTAAGTATCCACTATTTGCAGGTAAATACTTCTAAGCTCTAATATGAGGAACCAAAACAAGAGTATGTAATATTGTCTTTATGGTCAAAAGTACAGTATTAGATAAGAGAGAAGGATTTTAGGTATTAAGTGGTATTTACATGTTAAAAACTAGTTTTTAACTACCAAAGACAAATATTATTCATTCCTATGAGAGAATTCTTTGCTTTGGTTTGTATGTATGGGATTTTAATTACCCGTCAAATAATAGTAAGATTTTAGCACAGTGTAGAAAATCTGAAGATATATTTGGAGGGGCGGTAAGCCAAATAGTTAGGAAGAGAGACTGAGGAAGAAATGAATAAAATTTAAGGATAGGAAGAACAAGAGAACAATTAAGACATCATATCACTTGAACTAAAGTCAAAAAGCCTACAAAGATTAAGTGATAACATTAGGGATATATGTTCTAGTTCTTAAAATAGCAGGTTCATATAATTCTATAATAATAGAATTTTTTGCACATTTGTTGAAATAACATTAACTTTGGAAGATTCAAAAAAATTTTTGTGATAGTGTTACGATATGTGATTACCTGGCAACTGTCATTTAAAACTTTTTGAAATAATTTTTGAAATGTAAGATTTAACTGATTCTACATGATTTATCATTTACAGGTTGCAAAATATAGAAAAGGAAATTGAAAAGAAAAGAATGAGTGTGTTTAATATTCGGTCTGTAGATGATTCCCTTAGACTTGGTCAGCTCAAAGGAAATCACTTTGATATTGTCATCAGAAACTTGAAAAACCATATAAATGATTCTTCAAACCTGAGAGAGAGAATTTTGGAGGCAATAGAAAGTGTTAAGGTAAGAAAACTCAATTTTAAAAGAGTACTACAGGAAAATCTTTATGAGGCATAATCCCTCTATTTCACATTTGGCTGTGTATGAGGAGCACTTTTTGCCCAAATTTTTGAGGGAAAAATAAGGATGCACATTATACATGGGCAGTACCTGAAATACCTTGTGTCTATTCTTGTGTTTTATAATTATTTGTTACATAAAATTTCTTGTACCATAATATATTCAAAAGTAAATACTAAAATTCCTTTATAATACAAAAAACAAGTATCTAAATATAAATAAAGAATTGAATTAAAAAATTAAAACGGAAGATTTTTTACCCTGAAAATTTGGGCCAAAAACATGGGTGCATGTTATACATGGCAAAATACAGTACATTGAGGCAAGAAGGGAAACTTTTTCTTTTTACCTTTTTTTATTTGCATGTATAATTATTTTTTAAAATGATAATTTGGGCCATTTAGTTTATTTTTCAATTTTCTTCTTACTACACTTTTGTATTGGAGAACCCCCCACAACTTTAACATAATTTTAAACAAATGAAATGTATAGTTTTCCAGAGATGGGTGAAAAATAATCTGTATAAGGAGAGTGTTTTTTAGCATATGCACATAGAGTAATATTTTAGGGAAATGGATTAATTTTTTTAAGTTTTATCCAGTAATTCTTTCCAAGAATCATTGGTAATTTGGTAAATTTCATTTTAGAATTATACACAATATTTTTCTTTTCAATCTAATTTGAATTTTATTTTTAATGTATACAAACAATAAATAATATACATTGTATTATGTTTTACAGTAAAAAATTACTTAACATACATTTTTAAATGACATTTGCTAGCCATTTAAATATATATATACAGCCATAACCTTCAGTCTGATCAGCTAGACTATGAATCAGCACATTTTTTTCTCTAAAGGACGAGAATAAATATTTTTGGCTTTGTAGGCATATGGTCTCTGTTGCAGCTACTCTATTGCTATTGTGTGGAGGCAGCCACAGACAATACATAAATGAATGAATGTGGTCATATTCCAATAAAACTTTATTTACAAAACACAGGTGTTGGACCAGATTTGACTTGTTAGTAGTTTGCAACCCCTGATCTAGACCAGTAATTCTCAACCTGCAGGGCTTTAAAAAATTCTCAGCAGTCTATCTCTGCCCCTAAGCCAATTAAATAAGAACACTTGGGGATGCATTGAGGCATTAGTATTTTTCAAAAAATCCCTAAGTTATTCTACTCTGGAGCTAATACTGGGAAATATTGATCTAAGTTTCTGACCAGAAAGACCTTTTTACATAATTTTATGCTCCACCTCCAGGAAAACAAACGAAAACTGGTTTTTAATCAGTATTATGCCATATAGTCAGGAAAATCCCTTCCAATTAAAGATTTTAAATCCAGCACTTTCACATGTGTATAGGAATTCTCAGATAGTGTACTCTATAAACTTTTTTCCTTTTTTCTAGATCTACCTACTTAAAATTCTTTCTTTCCCCTGAAAAACTTATTAATCTGTTTCTTACAAAAGGGAGGGAGTGTAATATTGCGATTTATAAGAAATATATATTTGGTCATTCACGTGTCCAAAGTATATTTTTCATATATATTTGGTCTTCTACCGTTCCTGGCTCACAGCTCCACCAACTCTCAGAATTCCCTAAGTGTGAGAGTGATAGAGTTGTCTATTGCTATGTTAGTGAGGTGACTTCTGGAAAGCACCGGAGGATGGGACTGGTTGCCAGTGGAGCCAACCTTGTGATTACAGGGTTGTAACGTTTAGTACCACCCCCTGAACTAGGAGTGAGAAGGGATGAGGGACAAGGGGCTGAAGGCTGAATCAAATGCCAGTGGCCAATAATTTAATCAATTATGCCTCCGTAATGAAACTTCCATAAAAACCCAAAAGGACAGGTTTTGTTCAGGGAGCTTGTGGGTTGGTGAACTCTGGGTTGGAGATGCAGCGAGACTGGTATACCTGGAGAGGGCACAGGAACTCTGCACCTCTTCCCACATACTTTGTGGGACACATAGAACATACTTGTTCTATGCATGTCTTCCATCTGGCTGTTCCTGAGTTACATAACTCTGAGTTTATAAAAAATTGGTGATCTGGTAAGTAAAATGTCTGAGTTCTTTAAGCCTCTCTAGCAAATTAATTGAACCCAAGGAAGGGGGCTAGGGATCCTCTAATTTAAAGCAAGTTGGTGAGAAATACAAGTAACAGCCTGGACCTTGGGCTGGTATCTGAAGTCCAAGGAGTGTTCATTGTAACCTTTATCTATAGCAGGTCATCAGAACACAGGTGCAACCTGGGCTTGTGACTGATCTGACATCTGAAGGTGATGGGGATGAAGCAACGCTTACTCTGTAGAATCTGATGCTATCTCTGCATAGATAGTGTCAGAATTGAGCTGAATTGTAGGACACGCAGCTGCTGTCAGGGAATTGCTTGTTGGTGTGGGAATCTCCTCTCCACATTGAGAATGGGTGCTTAGAACACCAAAAGAGAGGGTTTCTCTGAACTCTGATAGCATTTATTGCCTGTCTTTCATTTGGTAGTTAAAGATATCCAGCTGCTCATTATAAAATCCCCATTTGGAATAATCTTAATGTTAGCTAACTTTCCTTTAGTTCTCATAAGGGAAGGGATTTGAGAAGCCCTGAAAATAAGTCTTTGAAGTTTTGTTTTAGAAAGTTACATCACTGATTGCTATAAACCTTGTTATTTGCAACTCCAAGTAATTAGAAGGAGTAATTAAACTTCTTGTGGCTGTTCTAGTATATTATTTGATGTTATCTTTTTCAAATTTGAAATTAAAATACTAACTATGAGATTTAATATAGGGAATACTTATTTTATCTGCAGTTGCTTTTTGTGAATGGCATGAAGTAAGGGTGCCTTTTGTACCATGCTGATAACAAATTATCTTAGCATCTTTTATTATATAATCCTAGAGCTGGTGCTCAATAATAATTGTTGAATGAATAAATACATACTCCCCTCACAAAGTGAGTGTGGAAGACTCTTATCTTTCAAGAAACTGTCTGGGCCCAGTGTTTTCTTTGTGAGAACATATTTGACTACTGACCAATGTTTTTAAATGGTCACAGTAGTAAATTACAATATTCTAATCTTGGTGAAGTGATGCCATGTCCTTGTCTTGGCCCAGGCTTTCAGAAACTGACATAACTGAAAGATGAACTCTTATATGTAAAGGAGCCAGGACTTGCTGGGTTTGAAAATAAATTCCCTGCATGTCCATACAGCAGAAGGGTCTCAAAATCAGAGCTTCAGGGAAAAGCTCAGATCCAATACTAGGTAATCAGTTCATCCCAGTTGTCCCAGAACTTTCCCCGTTTTAACACCAAAAGTTCCACATCCCAAAAAACCCTTCAGTAATGTGAATTAAAGCTGACATTTTTAGAGCTTTTTCACTCATCTTACTTTCTAACTTTCAATCAATCATTCTTCTCCTTTCTTTTCTTTAACTGTATAGCATTTCTCAGGCCATTTGGCTCCCATGTTTATAGTGCTGATTACACGATTCTTTTATTAAAATAAATATGAAGAGAAAGACTTGATTACATATTCTAAGGCAACAGTTGTATTTATTTGTTTCAGTTCAGGGCTATAACAAAGAACCATGGACTGGGTGACTTTTGAACAACAGAAAATTATTTCTCATAGTTCTGGAGGCAGGAAACCTGAGGTTAGGCTACCAATGTGGTTTTCTCATTGTATCCTCACTAGGCAGAAAGAAGAGTAACTTAGCTCCGTGTTTTTTTCTTATAATGACACTAATCCTGTTCATGAGGGCTCTATCCTCATGACCTAATTATCTCCTCAAATCCCCACCTTCACACACAATCACACCGAAGGGTAGGATTTCGACATATGAATTTTGAGGGGACACAGGCATGTGATCCGTAACAATATACTTTTAATTAATTTGATTTTTTTTTTTTTTTTTTTTTTTTTTGCTATTCATAGCATAAAGGGTTTGTGAATTACTATGGACCACAGAGATTTGGCTTGGGAAGGAGAGTCCACACAGATCAGATTGGTTTGGCTTTGTTGAAGAGTGAAATGGTATGTATTTTTAAAAAATATGATCTTTTCTGTTTTCTCAGTTATACTTACATATAAGCCAGCTCCTTGCTTTCTTAACCCAGCCTATATATACATGTATGCCACACATATATACATCATATACTACATCATTGAACATATTGAGCAGCTGCTATATTCTTGGCATTACATAATAAAAAAGAATACTGTGTGCAATATCCAGTACTCACTGGATTGACCAACACTCACTAAATTCTTCGTGAACTGAACGGAGAATTTAGAGGAATCTCATACCCTACAATTTTAGAAATCTGCTATCAGATTATATAAAAGACAGAAGTTTACCCAAAGCTAGAGACAAAAAAGGAAACAACAGATTTGAAAAATTATATGATTAATTTCAAATGAAACTATAAATGAATGTCGCAAATAAGAAGCTACATATGCCCAATGATTAAAATTATATATGTATTTTAAATGTATGTTATATATAATTACATATAAACATACACATATTTTTGTACTGAAGGAAGTACACATAATAGCAAAGACCTTCAAAACTATAAAAATCATATACTTGAGCAAAAGCAAAATTGTTCATATGATTATGTCATACTCGTGTTGAGTAGAAGAGAAAGGAACAGTGAAAAACAGTTATGAGAAGCATTGTGCATGTGAATATTATCTTACACGTGGAAATAAGATTGAGAATTGATGATGTAGACCACATCTGAAAATTTGTAGTCAGTATTACTACTCAAAGACACATATTGCACTTAGAAATGAATCACAGTGCTAGGGAGAGTGATAAAATACAGGAACTAGTAGATACCATTTTTGTAAAAAAAAAAAAAAAAAGAGTATCTTTTTATTTATTTAGGTTGTGAAAGAAAATAGGTTAAAGTTGACAATTTGCCCTGGCTGGTATGGCTTAGTGGTCTGAGCACTGGCCTGTGGACCAAAAGATCGCTGGTTTGATTCCCAGTGAAGGCATATGCCTGGGTTGCAGGCCAGGTCCCCAGCTGGGGGCATGCAAGAAGCAACCAGCTGATGTTTCTCTCCCTTTCTTTCTCCCTCCCTTGCCCTCTCTCTAAAAATAATTAATTAAATTAAAATATATACATAAAAAAGTTGACAATTTAAAAAAAGATATTGGCATTTATTTTTAAGACCGAAGAATTCTGAGACTTGAGAAAATAAATGAAATTAGTGGCTTGCCATTCCCTTATGCTTGTTTCCTTCCCTGTTTTTGTTGTGTCTGTCAAGTCTGAGTGTTATGTCATTACTTCAGGCTTGTATTAATACCCCTATGATAGAGGTAAAGAATGACTGAAGAAGAACTATGGAAAGTATGGGAGAGCACTTTTTCTAGTCTGTAGTATTTTAAACCTGCATATAAGCTTGGTTTGTACAGAAGTTTATTTCTAAATTTAATGTTGATTGTTTAATTTTTGGAAGCTTATAAATGACATTGAAGCATCAAATATCATTTGTTATATGCCTGTTCCTTTAAGATGCATTTTAAAAAAGTAATTTGTAATTTTTATTTAACATATGTTTGCTTGCTTGATTTTTAAAGGTGAAGGCTGTAAAATTATTTCTTACACCAGAAGATTTGGATGATCCCGTAAATAGAGCAAAGAAATATTTTCTTCAAACTGGTATTTAAAAGTTTCTTTACCCCATACATAACCATGAAGATACATAATACCAGCAGGAAGACAGTCACTGAAACAAATGTGATAAGACATAGATTGTAATATACTGTACATTTAATCATTTTTTTACATTCCCTAGGCACTCCATTTTTGGCTCGATCTTAAGGACTTTTGTCTGTTCTAAATTTTGCTTGGTGTGGGGAGGGGAGAGATGGCATCTTAGTTTTTCTTGGTCTGAATCCTCTGAGGAGATAGGAGTTCCCAATTATAAACTGGTACTAATGGAAGTATAATTCACTACAACTAATGGAGACAGAAAAATAAACTAAATTAAAGGACATTTGTTATATCTGATACTTTGTGCATTGTTTTGGTCTAGTTGCCAATCAGCCCTGACTGCTGACTTTGATAACTCTAGCTCAATATGATGCTATATATGCAGAATGCTTAATATAAAACACTGAAGAAAATTGCTTATAAGTGGGTATAACTCTCAGCTTTAATATTTCCCAACTGTATGGGTTTGTGCAAATGATTTAGCCTCATTGTTTTAGATTCTTCATCTGTAAAATGAAGCTAAAAATGGCACCTAAAAGACTGTTAAGAGATTTAAGTAAGATAACAGACATAATGCTTTAAAATAGTGCCTGGCACATACTAAATACTAAATAAATATTATTTGTATTTAAATAATAATAACACCAACCATACCATTTTAGATTCATTTCATTCAAATATGTGATCTACATATATGTGTATACTGAATTCACTTACATTGAACAAGGCAAGTTTGAAAAAGATCAGTTTTCTAAATTATCCTATTTTAAATTATGTACATGTTATATATATATGTGTAATCACTCATAAGAGAGAAATATTTTTATGCCACATCATAATCTATAAATAGTATGTACACTTCAAATTGTTATGAGTAGTCTAAGTAATACTACAGAAAATTCAAAGTGACTTACTTGTTTGTCTCTGTTATGAGTCCTGAGAAGATAATTTCCTTATGGCAATGATTTTTAAACTTTAATGTTCATAAGAAACCTGATACAGTTATTAAAATGCCCATTCTAAGGCCCTACCCGAATCAGCATTTTTACAGTAGAGTCGCTAATTTTAAGAAACATCCCACCAGTAAGACCTAATAGGATACTGGAGGGATCCATATACCAACCCTTTCTTATTCAAAAAATTCTGTGTAAGTGTTCATAATAGCTCTTTTTTAAATGTCTAACCTCCTAGATTTATTTAATGCTCTTTTTTGAACTTCTCTAAATAACTGTAAATTAGTTTATCATCATTTTGAAGAAGGAATTACTAATGTGCTTTTGTTATTTCATTTTTAAAGCAGGGGAAGTGAATGGATCATATGATTAATGGTCTTTATTTAGAAAGCAAAACAAAACAAAACAAAAAACTTGCCCTGGCTGGTATGGCTCATTTGGTTGGGACATTGCCTTATAACTGAAAGGTTATGGGTTCAATTCCTGGTCCAGGCATGTACAGGAGGCAAACAACTGATGCTTCTCTCTTGCATTGGTGTTTCTTTCTCCTTTCCTCTAAAAAAAAAGCTGTGGAAAAAAATGTCCTTGGGTGAGGATAAAAAAAAATAATCAAGTGTAGCTAGATTTATAAAAGGTACAACAGTTCATTGACTCTCATTTAGAGAGCATAATAAAGGTCTTTATAACTGGCTTTTAAATAAAGCTGGTTGACTAACTGATTTTCTCTTTATTGCAGAGGATCCTAAAGGCACACTTTCACTAATGCCCGAATTTAAAGTTCGAGAGAGAGCATTGTTGGAGTCGTTGCATCGCTTTGGCATGACTGAGGAGGGTTGTATCCAGGCATGGTTCTCTTTTCCTTATTCTATGCGCATTTTCTACATTCATGCATATAGCAGCAAAATTTGGAATGAGGCAGCATCTTACAGACTTGCAACCTATGGATCAAGAGTGATGGAGGGTGATTTGGTCTGTTTGGATGAAAATGGTGATGATGAGCATTTCTCAAATAGTAAAGTAAGTATCATTTCATCAGTGTTTCCCAAGAGTAGTAACAACAGCAGGAACACTAATTTTCAGAAGCCCTTATTTTAGAAATAATTTAAAAATAAACATGGATTTTATTTCTTTTTAACTTATATTTGCTCATGTCCTGCTTCCACTCTGCTGTCAGATGAGGTTTAATACATGTCAATAAATGGAAAAATAAAAGTCAGTGGTATGACATGAAAGGCACAAAGATAGTAAACCTTCCTTTGAAGAACACATTCTTTTAAAAAATTACACAAGTAATGCACAAAACATTTTCCTTAAAACTAAAAACCAAAACACTATATATGAAGCTGTCGTCCCTGCCCTTACTCTGTTGTGATTCCCTTCCCTGCCTCCAGAACATCAGCCCCTGTTTTTTGGCCTGTTTCCTTCTAGATCTTTTTCTATGCTTTCACATAAATATCCATAAGAAAAGGAGATTTTTATTCTGTTAGTTAACACCAAGAAAAGAAAATGCAGGGCTTAGCGGCTCAAAGCTTAAAATATGAAAAAAAAAAATAGAGTAAGATTTTTATCCTCGCATGTAGGGCATGTAACGTCTGTTTCTTTTATGTAAGTGCAATTTCACAACTTGCTTTTTTCTTCTTAACAGTATCTTAGAGACATTTATGTTCATTTCAAGGAATGGGATCCTATCTCAAACTAACTTAGGGAAAAACAGACAGGAGTTTATTGTCCCTCGTAACTGAAAGTCCACAACGGGTTCAGGCCCAGCCTAACCCAGGGTGTCATGCATTGTCCTACATTATCCCTTATTTTCTTCATCTTGCAGCTCTGTTTTTCTCTGTTAGATCCATTCCCAGTCTGGCTTATTCCTTTGGTGGCAAGATGGTTATTAACAATTCTAACCTTAATTTTCACAACTTCTTCAGAAAAGCAGGGCTTTTCTTTCTCAACAGTTTCAGCAAGAGCCATGGAATTGAGTCTCAGTGGGTAGGAATGGCTTGGCTTGGGTCACATGTCCCCAAGCCAATCACTGTGGACTGGAGTTTGTGATTCATAAGGTGGTATTTCCAGGTCTTCTTCCTGGAACAATTCCACCCAAAGTGCATTTGAGACCTGGGAAGGGAGGTCCCTGGAAAATGCACTACCAGAAGAGAGGTAGGTGGTAAAGCCCGAGAAGTCAGAACATCAGAGGTCTTTTATACTCTTTCATTAAATGGATGGCTTTTGAATATTTAGATAAGAAAGTAATTACTAGGAACATAAATTACTAAGAATGGTTATTTAACTGAGACACAGACTCTGAAACTGTATAGAAAGAAACCTAGCAGCATCATAGATTTTATTTTACCTCTTGTGAATGGAAAAAGAGAAATGTCAGTGATCCTCTTTTGAGAAATAATAAAAAATTCTAAGTTTTTTAAATACCTTCCAGAAAACATGTCCATTTAATATTACCTTGGCAATATATTATTTAATAAGTCAGCCATTTCTAATTCAGATTTGCAGAAGTTAAAGGGTACTTTGACAAGAAATAGCAATAATCTCTGGAATATATGTATCATAAACTTCTTTGTTCAACATAACATTTGCAAGGAGTTTTGTGATTAGAATTGTATCAGTTTTTCTTTTGGGAGCTGTAGGAGGAAAGAGAACATTGTCTCCTTCATATCTTGCAGAGTTTCCTTTTATTAACAGCAAAAAATGTTCTTCTATATTTTAAGACCAATCACTTTTGCTTTATTAATTAGCAATAAGAAAAGAATAGGCAAGACTTAGAGGCTCAACTTAAATTATGAAAAGGGAAAAGGTAGAATAAAATTTTTAATAAATGGTATATAGGGCATGTAATGTACATTTATAATTAAAAATGGTAGAAATCTAATCTGATTCCCTTTTTTGATAGGATTACTAGGCTAACAGTTATATTTTTATTTCAAGGCATTTGGTATATTCTCTTATAATTTTTTTTTGTGAGGAAGATAGGGAAATATAAGTTAGACAGTTACATAGTTAGGCGAATTCATATTTGGGGAGCAGCCATACAGCAAAAGCATATTTGTTGACTGATATTAACCTGGAGAGAGTTCTCTTAAGGCAAAACATGGTCTTTTGTACTTGACCCTTTTTGTTCAGTATTTTCATAAATTACTTAAATTACAGTATGGTAGGTATACTTACGAATTTGTAAAAGACCAAATGTTGGAAGTGATACAAGAGAGTTCACAGTCTCACGTATGAGTATTTTGGTCAGATCACACTTGGAGTTTTATATTCATTTCTGAGTGGAACAGTTAAAAACAGGTTATTTACCTATAAATAGACAAACAAGTGAAAAGAAAAGGAGGGACTTTATTGATAAAAGTAGAGAATCGAGGGGAAAGCAAGCAGATTTAGAAGAGATCTAGACACTGTATGATGTGATGGGTGCTTTTGGAAGATGGAGATGCTGTCAGTCCTTGTAGAATGTTGACAGCCGCCCTTATACTTGAGCTCTCATGTGCAAGAGAAATCAGAATTATTCTGTGATGTCCTATAGCCACATTTCTCAAACTTAATACCATATTTTGCCATGTATAATGCACACTTCTTTACCCAGATATTTTAAGGGAAAAATGAGGGTGCACACTATACATGGGTATAATTATTATATACCATGAGTATAATAATCCTGTATATAATGTGCACAAAAATATGGGTGTGCATTATACATGGCAGAATATGTATAACGTGTACCTCCTACATGTGATAACTGTAACTATTCTACGAAGCACATTTTGAGAAACACCACTTCTCATGGAGTAGGGAGTGGTTTCATAAAAGCAGAGTTTTGATTCAGCCTAATAAAGAACAACTTTGTAATTTAGAAAAAGATTGTTGGTGACTGAGGTGAAAGTGTCACCTTGAAGTGTTAAGCTGCCAACCACAATCTGTGCTCCAGCTTCAGTTCTCAGGTGTTAAAGCATGAAGCATCATTCTAAATTTTTATATAGTCTGCTCCTCCAGAAACAAACTGTGAAAAGATCTTGTTTGGATATATGTATATTCAGTAAAGGAATCAAATTAAACATAACAAAATTAGGGAAAATTGAAGGAATTTGGAGCATCTGAGAATCATCCGTATTTTCCATCCTATGTTTTAAAAATAGGTTCATCTAGTAACTGAAGAAGAGGAATTGGCTAATACATATGCAATACATCAGGTAAATTCCCTTAAAAATTATTAGTATCTCTTATATCTAAATGTAGGTGTTCTCCCCAAAAGACAAAATATGACCAGTTCCCCTCCTCCACTTTTTTTTTTACCACTCTTCTTAGTTTACATTTTTATGAGTTTTCATAAATGTATGCAGTAATATGACCATCACAAAAATCAAGACAAAGAATAGTTTCGTCTTTCCTCAAAACTTCCTCGTCCCCCTTTGTAGTCAACCCCCAGCCCTTGGCAACAATTCGTCTGCTTTCTATGCCTACAGTTTTACCTCTGAAAGAATATCATATAAGTGAGATAATATAGTATGTGGCCTTCTGTGTCAGGCTTCTTTCAATTAGCATCATAAATGTGAAACTCATTAATATCGTGTGGATTTGAGTTTTTTACCTGGTTTCTTTTTTGACTACCCTTTGGTACTCTTCAAGAAAAATGTTTACAAGTTATCAGCAAAGGACGAAAGCCCCGCAAAATGCAGTATGTACTCATAAGCAGCTGAGAAAATAAAAATTACTTTTACTTTCTCTTGTTGCTTTCATGTTTTTAAATAAATAAGAAGAAAGTAAAATCATCCACTAAAATACCAGTTATGTGATTGAGCAGTAGGGGTTATTCTTTGTGTCACAGAAAGAATATGCTTTTAGGATTGTATGATTGCATACAGATTAGGTCTTTGTTGGTTAATTAGATATACCTAAACTTCTTTTGTCCTGTCTACCTTAACAGTAATTTGTGTAATAATATCTGACTTGATGGTTATGTCGGTTATTCTGAGTCCTTAGTTAGCTCTTTTCTTAGCACGTTTTAGGCTGAAATGTGTTTATATTCTGAGACTTTTTATAGGTCTAGGTCCCAGTCATAAAAGTAAATTTAAAATGTGATCATATATTGTCCTGAAGGCTGTGTCATGTATCTTTTTTACCCCTTCCCATTCACAGGTGGTTCTTCCAGTGCTTGGATACAATATTCAGTACCCAAAGAACAAAGTAGGGCTATGGTACCAGGAAGTACTTAGCAGAGATGGACTGCAGACATGTAGATTTAAAGTACCTACTCTGAAACTGAATGTTCCAGGATGCTATAGAAAGATTTTGAAACAACCCCATAATATCTCATACCAACTAAGAGAAGAACACAATACTGATGTCAAAGAAGAGGGTTCCCAGGTCAATGAAGCAACTTTATCTCTTTTGATTTCTTTTGATCTTGATGCTTCGTGTTATGCTACAGTTTGTCTGAGAGAAATAATGAAGCATAACTTTTAAAACTGGTATCCTTGATATAACGTATATATGTTGCTCTTTAAAGGAGAGGGAGCTAAAATTTCTTGAGAGTCTGTCATGTGCTAGGAGCTTTATAATTATCTCCCTTAGCAATATGATATCCTAATGAAGTACGGATTTGATGCTAATATTCTGGAAGACATATAACTAGTAAGTGGCAGTATCTGAGTTTAAGATTCCAAAGCCTGTGTGGCTTTTTTTTAATTACCTAAGATTTTGGTGACCTTTATTCTGTGTTATAAAAATTACAGTCTTTCTGGACTACAAGGAGCATATAATACTGCAAGATAACATTTAAGAAAAAAAGTTTTTGGAGTAATGTTTATATCCTTTAGCTTCCTGCTTAGAATATAAATTAAACTAGATTGTAATGAAAGCATATAGTTGGAGATAAAGATAGATAAAGCATTTTGTTAATTATTGTTGTCATTCTTTCCTATTTTTGAAATTATTGATAAGAAAACTACATCAGGGAAATGTAATCTCTCTATGATAGCTACCTCAGGATAGTTTACCCTTTTATGAAATAAATAATGTTTGATGAAGACAAATAAAAATTTTTATGCAATGTCTTTCTCTTGTCATACATTAACCTGCAATTTTATTTTTATTTTTTACTCCTCATTATCTAAAACAGATTTCGGAGTCAGATAGATCTGGACTCAAGACTTAGGCTGTGATACTTAGTAGTGACTTCGGGTATTGGTGTACTGATTCTTTTTGATGCTCACTGAAAGAACCAACATATCACCAATCTCATAAGCAACAAATAATAGGATTATCTCCACCTTTTATGTGGCTAGAGGAAGAAAACATTTGGCCCATTTAAAAATGTAAATACATGTATGTGTTGGTTTAACTGTTCCACATCATAAATCATCCTTAACCACTTTAAATTAGTTAAATTTGGGGGGAAATGGGAAGAACCAAACATTCTTTTATTACTGGTAACATAGTGAAATTTTAAAAGCAGTATACATTATATATTAGTAATGTGTCACATTTATATACTTTAAGTAAGTCAAAGTATTTCAGGAACATTAGCATAAGGAAATAAAATTCAAAAGAAGGAAAAGAACTATATACAATGCAAAATTTGCTTATTGTAGCATTTTTATTTTATTTTAAAGATTTTTATTTATTTATTTTTAGAGAGCAGGAGGGAGAGAGAAAGAGAGGGAGAGAAACATTGCTGTGTGGTTACATCTCACACACCCCTGCTGGGGACCTGGCCTGCAACCCAGGCATGTGCCCTGACTGGGAATTGAATCAGTGATCCTTTGGTTTGCAGGCCGGTGCTCAGTCCACTGAGCCACACCACCTAGGGCTTATTGCAGCATTTTTATATGTAATGAAAGAAATTAGAAATAGTTTGAAAGCTCAGCATTAGATAATGAAAATAAGTAAAGCGACATGTATCAACTTGATGGCAAACATGTTAATTAGTAAAAGTGATGACAATGGTTTGAGGTATGAGAAAATGTTGCCCCTTAAAAACAGAACATATATTATAAATATATAATGTATGTACACAAAATGCAGCTTTTTCAAATGAGAAGCACTTTAGCATAGTGATTAAAAATCATAGATACTGGAGACAAATGTCCTCATTTTGAACCTTGACTCAGCCACTTATAGCAGTGTGGCCTTGTACAAGTTATTTAAGTTTTGTGTGCTTCACTTTCAGCATCTATAATATGAGGATGGTAATATTTCTACTTCTTAGGATTATTGTGATGATTTGCTGAGTATGTAAAGCAGCTTAGAAAAGCGCATTTTGGTAATAATAGAATAAGGAAATAAATGTCTACAGAGGCAAGTTGGGAAAGGGAATAGGAAGGGAGGGGAGGGGAGAAAAAAGGGAAGGGGAAGAAAGGAAAGGAAAAGAAAAGGATAAAAGAAGGATAATAATCTCTTAAGGTGATAGGGTGTTTGGATATTTTTAATACCGAAAGTTCCCTTTTTTGTCATTATGTATTTTACTAATAAATTTAGGACACAAAAAGTGGAGATTGCAATTCCATGGATTTGAAAAATTACCTTTATTTTAATGTTTATTGAAAACCAAATGATGCATTAAGTAGTAAAACATTTTAGAAAAGTATTTTAATTTATATGATAAATTATATTCTGTCAATATAATCAAAAAATGAATTATGCAGATTAAGTCCCAGTTTTAAATGTTCAGTAGTAATTAGAAAGTATGAAAGCGTTCAAATGTGCTTTTATTGATATTATTTTCTTTGCCTGTAGATGGCACTATAATTTTAGATATCTTTCTTATTTGTTACTTTGGCTGGGTGTAAAGAAAGGATCACTAAACTTGTTTAAGCCATCATACAATGTATTTGGATAATGTACATGTGGAAAATTATTTTATATACCAATAACATTTGCCATATTCATTATTTTTTTTAGTTTAAGGACTTTGAGATACTTTGGACCAAATGATAACCAGGTTTTTGCAGTTTTACTGGGGCATTTCAGGCTTTCAGGAGGATACTCTTTGGATAAATTTTAATTTCCAAAGTTGCATTTGAAACTGACTTGGATTTTTGTGAGTTATAATAAGCTGAAAGTCATATGTAACTTTTGATTCAAGTAGCATTTATGGAGTGTCTGCTGTGCCAGGTGTTTCTCTCATTTTAATTTTCATTTTAGATGGATAGTGTTTCCTGTTTTTGCAGATGAGAAAATACTGAATGGTTTACTGACATATTCAAGGTCAAAGAAGACAGTATGTGGTTGAACTTGATTATACTTCTCAAATAGGTAGTTTTCATCTCTCTAATATTTGCCTTCTGAAAATATGTTTTTTGGTTAATAATTTCCATTTCTACAAACTTGCCATTACTTGCCATTTAATAATATGTATATTGAAGCAGAGAGAAACAAGATTCCTTTTGAGATTATGAGACCAAAATAAAAGTAAAGGAGATCGATCCTTAAGGAAATTCCCAAATCATTTGGGTGTAGCTTCCAGAATATTCTGGGACTAGTACCACAATCATAGGCAAAACTCGATGTAGGTAATAAGAAGTTGTTTGAAATTTAACCTGGCACAGTATTAGATGTTATTTAAAAAAAAACAAAACAAAACAGCAGGAGAGTTACTTCTTTTTCAATTCTCTTTCAGTAATTTAACCAATCAGTCTTTTTAAGACAAGGAAAACGCTGATTGATACTAGTTTACATATATTTTATCCCTAAAACTTGTTGATTTACCTTTTGAATAGAGACAGCTCAGGCCTCAGGCTCAGGAATATCAACAGGCAATAATATCTAACCAGAATTAAAGAAGATTGCTTTGTTTTATTGAATGTATTTTTCCAGTGACCTTTTTCATTTATGGCAAACAATCCATATCAGTTTTCCACTTATATGATGTTCCTTTAAAAAATAAATTGAATTTTACAGGTGACTGTATGGTATGTGAATTATATCTCAATAAAACTTTAAAAATAAATTTAATTTTAAAAAGAGGGAGTTAATTTAAGGGTATTAAGGAAATACTAGTGTAGATATAGCAGCAGCAATGCAAGAATGATTGTTTGGAAAATACTGGCATAACTGTGAGTACCTGAACCCAGGGAGGGGCTCTAGCACTACATTAGTATGTGGCTTCACTCACCCACCGCGCTTCTCACTTCTGCTGACCTAGGTTTGAAGCAGTGTTAGTAATCATTTTTTAGTCCAGGACAGTATTGCATCAAACAAAAAATGAAAAATATACAAATTCAAGATATGAGCACAAGTACTGATGATCACATGCTGTATCTTAAAATTTCACTGACAGGAACTTTATTTTGGAAATACTAGGAATAGGGTATAGCATCTAAGTCTCAATTAATGTTGGCTAGTGTTGTTATCATTAATACTGAGTTGGCCAAAGAGTCCATTTTGTTTTTTCCATAAAGTAAAAGATACATTTTCATTTTCACCAATAATTTTATTGATTTGGGTATTTTTAGAATGTTGGCTCTCTCCCTGGTGGTATAATATTGATTGTTCTTTATTTGATCACCATGAACTTCAACTAGTCTACCTGACTGTGGAGCATCATCCAGTGAGAAATTTCAAGCATGAAACTTTGCAAACCACTTTTGACACATTTGATCCGGCTCAGCACCTTCTCCCTATATTGCACAAATCTTTTTCTGCATTTCTGTTGTGCTTTTAACTTTCTTGAAATAATAACTCATAATATGCCAAAATTGTTGTTTATATTCTTCCATCTTCAATATTACAATGGCTACACAAAAATTCACCAATTTTGGTAAGTTTAAAAAAATTCTTGCTGATAGGACAGCCATCATAATACAACCTAATAAAATTGTTTCAAATGAAATTAAAGATAACTAAGCGCTACTAGAGCCATCTTTCAGAAAAAAACCAAATGAATTTTTTGATTTGCAGGCCAGTGCTCAATCCACTGAGCCACACCAGCTAGGACCCAAATGAATTTTTTGGCCAACTCGATATTACATTACCGTGCTTGCTCTCTGATGAAAAGTTTTACAATTAAATGGTTAATGACTCCCTTGAGATCTGATCTTATTCTGTCTTAACACAAAGTAATTATAATTCAGCACACTTTTAGTGTTTTTTGTTTTGTTTTGTTTTTGGTAAGTAGAAATAACTATCTCCAAATCTAGGAATTCAGCAGTTCATTCAAATTAAGGTCTTTAAGAAGGATTTAGGTCAGTGTTCCTCAGCAGTTTCCACCTGGGACCTACCATTAAGAGACCGAAATGTAAAATGAAGCCCTAACAGTGCAGAGTTTCCTTGCATTTAATGTAAAGATAGTAGAAGAGGTTGAAAGAAAATGTGGGGAGTAAGGAAAATAACACTTTTCATTTTTTTCTCTATTTCTGAAATGTTTGGCTTTTTAAACAAGAATACATTTGTGTATTAATTTCATAATTAAAAACCTTGGGTAATAATTAAGGTTCAGAGAGGGTAAGGAAAAGCAATAGCTGGATGATGATTGCATTTTTTTTAAATAGTTTTTTTGGCTCATGCTAGCATATGGCCAGAGATAGAAATCTACGCATTGTACATTTTAATAGCACTAATGGCACTTAAAGTAAGTAGTATAAATTTTAGTGCCTGTGCTATGGATTTTGCTTTCAGATTTAGAAAGATGCTTAGAGATAGGTTGATATCTTATGGTACTGTTTTAATCTGTTTATTCCTAAACCCTCTGCTTTTCATATTTTTGATAAACTACAAAGCAGTGTCAAATATGTGATGTAATAATCAACAAATATTTGAGTGCCCTTAAGTTAAAGGTGCTCTATAAAATGTTATGGGGAAAGATGAAAATAAATCAGGTAATAGCTCTGCCTTTAAGGAATTACAATTTTATATCCTTTAAGCTATCATTTGATTTGAAATACCACCTGCATAAAGAAAATGCAGACTAAATGTTAAAGAGAAAAAGCAGGCAACATTTTGCCATTTCACTATGACTCACTATATAACCAATATTGTTACTTGACCTCTCCAAAC